TAAGTTGAGGAGTGACCAAAATTTCAAAAGAGATAGTAAACATTAGTTATAACATAAAATAATATTGAAATAAAGGAAAAATAACCCCAAAATGGGGAATGGTATTTCCCATTGAAAATCAACAAAATATCCCCAATAAAATAAAATTCCATGAGTGACTCAGGTGACCTGAAAATCAATTTAGATTTCTCTTCAAAAGTTATCTTGGTGATCTTTCTACTATTGAAAACCAGTGCAGTAGTGTAATTCTGCAGTTTTCAGCATTTACCCCTAAGCCTAACATGAAAAAATCCAATTCCCAAAGGAACAAAATCTTCAAATGTATCCTCCAATTTAACACTTTTCTTGCTGAACAGCCAAATATTAAGTCTGAAACTAGTTGACATATGTCACAATTCAGGTGTTGCTAAGCATTGCAAGTGGCAAGATTCCATCTAATACAGAGGAATTTACAAAAAGTCTCAAATCTAAATATTTCTTCTCAGGAAGTTATTTTGGTTATCTTCTATGACTTTATATGCCAGTAAAACAGTGTAATATGGGTAAATCTTCATGTATTGAACAAGCGTATTCTGAAAAATATTGATTTTGTTTTCAAATTTCAGCATATTCCCTCATTTCTTCTTTCCGAAAAAAGTATAATAGCAAGATATTCCTCATATACAAATTAATACATTTTCATAATTAACAGGTCAATATTTAGTCTGAAATGAGTTTAAATGTTTCGATTTCAACTTTTATCAAATAATGAAAGAGGCAATATACCAGCTGATACACGAAAAAATCTCACAATTTTACATTTTAAAACAATACTTCAAATGTGAAATCACATGTAGATTTTCTCATTTTGTTCCTCTATGAAATATTTCCTTTCTCCCAAACAAATTTAAAACTTATAACAATCTTCAATAAACAGGTCAAATTAACCAAGTTAATAGATTAATTACTCAATTAAAAATGATTGTTGTGCATATATTATTTTCCTTTTTGAAGATTCGTCTATTCAAGTGATGACTTGATTAAGAATTAAAGGCATATGACATATGTAGACACTATGTCTGTGGAAGTGATATTGTGTTATTAAGAGTTGTGTACATGTACACATGCCATCAATGACATCAGATATGGTTTCATGATCATTCTCAATTGGGCAAGCACAGTAACACACTTATTAACCAAACAAAATTGTAATCATATGTAATTTGGTTGTGATTATTTATAGGTGTAAGACATTAAAACTGCACAAATAAAGGGAATGTTTGGTAATGACAATGACAATTGCTTTATTCTCACAAATAATACAGTGTAGAGAATACATATATACAAGTGGGTGACAATGCAATAATACATGGTGGAACAGGATGGACATTAGTATTGTAAATTAATTAACTCATTAATATCGGTAATAAATTTAGCCAATGATATAAATTCATGTTGTGTTACATAATTGAATAATGTATGAAATTTAAATATAAATAACCATAATGAAACAAGTTCCAACATATTTTGTTTCCACTGTTGGAAGTGCGTTTTCGGTCGTATTGCTGAAGGAAACTGTACAAAACTCCGTAATAACCTAATCCGCCTCCCAACTATCCTTTGATACTTAACTATAGCACTCAATGCTTGTAATGCGTAATTCTTACATTGAAAAAATCATGTTTAAATAATAATTTAGATTTTAACAAACAGGGCAAGATAAAAATAAAATGGTCGATTAAAACAAAGAGCTTATTCCGTAGCTTTTTAACTGAATATCCTTTATTGTGAATGGTTTTATTTGGGGGGGGGGGGGGGGGGGGTTTTTTTATGTTCCCCCCATGTTTCTTTCTATATTCAGCAATATCTATCTGTTTGTTGTTGAGGTAGTAGCGAGTACTGTCCTGATTCGCTATAAAAGCGGCCATGAAGCTTAGCCTCATTTACGCTTTAATTGAGACCCTATACACATGCTACATGTATTAAATGCTACAATTTCAGTTTGAAGGGAGATCATTCCTCCGTACTTAAATATATCTGGTTTGAAAAGCCTGTTTGAATGTTGACAAACTGACATTTGGCTAGCAGGCTCAAGTCTATTTTGAGTTCTTGTATGGAATTCCAAATCGTAATCAAAGTCTAGCCTGTAACAATATCGACATGCTAAGGTTTGCGCCATTCAGACTTGTGAGTGATGACAACATTTACCGAGTGCAACTCCTAGTCACCGAACACTGGGGGTGTTATCCTGCGTAAACAGATCGTCTGGACGCATCCATCCGTCTTTTAAATCAGTGAATCGTTTTCGGTATCCTGTTTGAGGGACGTAACAGACAGTGTAGGTTTATGGGGATTACCGATTTTACGCCGGAGGGAAATTATTGTTACGAAAAATGTTCTTAGTTATAAGACGTAACAGGTGCGGTGCTAACATTACGTCACGTAAACAAAAATAGAAAAAATAGAATGCTTGTGCGAGCAGAGAATAAACGTTATGCATATTTAACATCAAATAATAACGTTGTTTCAGTCGATGCCTAGATGATTTTCAAATTAATATGTATTCGAATACAGGACGAAAAAAGAATTAATAAGTGTACATCGTATATTTTGCTCATTGATTGAGGAACTATTCGTTAAATAACGCGATGGCCAAGTTGCTCAAATCCTGGTTTCGCTTTAAGCATAATTCGTTAATGAGTCTTGGGGAAATATAAGCAACTATGCTAAATTGATAGCAATGGATATTTCATACAATAATAGATGTATATTAATGTTATTATGCAGATCAATGTCCCTGTTGACTTTATCAGACCCTGCCAAACCTCTACTCTATCGGCTGCAGTTATTATGTACTTACTTCTATATGAACCGTGTCTCATGGAAACTGTAGTTCGTTGGCTTGTTTCAGTAAGTTGTTGGAGGTAAAACCACTGAACCTTTTTTAACGTTTATTCTCCACAGATAAGCCGTTGTTGTTTCACTATGTATTTATTTAATGTGCATTAGCATTGAACGTTCTTGTGACATGGCTATCAAGTCACGGATCACAGTTTTGTTTTTATTTTCATGTAAAGCGTTTAGATATTTGTTTTTTCATTCACGTTCACAGACAGTGTTCATATTATTATTCAGCAATTTCAAACAAATATTGGTTACCTACATGTGGACTTTTTTAATATATTTTAAATATTTGCCCTTTATATTCAATGTCCATCGTCCCTCTTACAGCATTAATTCTTTCAGTTGTTTTCTATGTTCATAAAGATAAGGTCATAAGTTAATGTTGAACATAAACATAGAAATAACATCTCGTGTGAATGTTGAACATATAGATGATTCGTCATTACAAGAAAGTGTTGAGTAGAGACACCAAGATGACAGGTGAACGTTTAACGCAGAAACTTAAATGGTAACATCCCACGTAAACGTTTAACATAAACAACAAATGATTTGCAATCATAAAAACAAGAATGTGACAACAGGGAATTATAGATATCAACAAATAGCTCACACTGTTATAGTTGGCATTTAACATATCAGAATACTTAACACTGACGAGTTTGCGATACATATTCCTTTCATTTGAATGTATGAGTCACTATGCTTTGTGTTTCATATAGCGGAAAGGGGTGTGATGAGAAATGTCATGCAAGAACAATCCATACACAGTAGTACGTTGACAATGTCAGCATCATACATCTGTATATACTAGCTACTATAACTGATGTCACAATTTCATTTAAATCTTTCAAATTTTGGTGAATTGGAATTTCAACAAAAAAGTCGTTATAGGCAGGAGCAGGTTTGGGCTTTATTAAATAAAACTTAATTTCAAGTTTTGAAAGAGCATTTCAAGTTTTACTACAAATCATTAAAATCAAATGTATCGCCTCACATAATTAAATCATTATTTACCAAACTTGCGGGGATGAGTTTACAAACTGCTTTGATTTTAAAGTATACCTCCGGTATACTAAATTCTCGCTTCCTGTTTTAAAACATTTTTTTTTTAGTTTGAAAATCTACTATATTTGTGTTGTTTTGCAATTTCATTGCTGATGTTTGCTTAACTTCCATGTAAAAGATTGAAGAAAAGGAGTAGTTAAACATGTGGAAAAAAAAGGAGATATGAAAAATCTACCTCGGAAGTAGAATAAGGCTGGGAACTTCGACAAAGCCGTTATACTGATTCTCATTCTACACCCTTGGATGGAAATTGTTATCTCCTACACTTCGCATGATGGATAATATAAGCGTTTGAAAAAAGGTGGCTTTCATTATATTTATATAAACATTGTTTATTTTACAACTATTATGAAACAAGTTATGTCAACTTATATTAATCACTCTTGTTGGCCCTAATGTTGGCGCGCGGGGGTCTTATGTGGGAGGAAACCGGAATACCCGGAGAAAACCAAGGTATTAAGTGTAGGTATTAAGATTTTACTAACATGTACCTTCAATGCAACGTCTTTGTAAAAGATCACCACAGAAATGTATCTTATAATTCTAGTTAATTCTAGTTATAATGTAATGAAGTGTCATCATATGTTGGTCTGAACACGTACTTTAGAGTAAAATGTATATGTTAGGTATAATACGTTTTTCCTACGCATAACACCCCCCTGCATAGTGTAGTTTAGGATATAGCTATCTGGGAGGAAATTCCGAAGCTATACAATTCCCACTCAACCAGCCTACACATACTGCATGCTTTTACATTTAATATAAGGACTATTTTTGAATTCCTTTCATACAGGTATAATGTTTAAATTAATATTTTGTTATAGATATTGTTGCACTTTTGTTATTAACTCTTCGTAGTCTTTGATCTAAAGCTATTCAAGGAGAATCCGTCTCATTTATCATTGCTGTTGTAATATTCCATATCAGCAGCAAATAAAAGCAAAGAATTTGATGGAATGTTGTTTGTGTTATACGCTGTTTCTTATTTCCGGAAGTTACCCCAAGACGATGTCAATCTGTTGTGTTATTGGTTGCTATAGAGGTAAAGTAAACGGACATCTGTAAACCATATTCAACCGAGATAGGCGGATGATTCATGCCGGTATTTTACGGGGTATATATAAAGCAAGCAGATTTTACCGGTACTTTGGGACTGTAATTAGTTAATGCATGTTTAACATCTCTCTTTTACCGATCTTGTACACATATGTACTCCAATTAGGTAACGTGTTCTACTTCAGAGCTCTGTTTACACCTGGTGTTTTAAACCGACTCTATATTTAGACTAGAACTACCTGTACACATTATGTTTTTGCTGACGTACCGTTCATGCGTTATCTTATTTGTACTATTTATACTCAGTTCGCCGTTGGAATCATGTCATTGCGGTAAGTAAACATTATCTGTTTTTATTCGTTTTGGAATAGTATTCTTTGTGTATAAAATCATGTTCACGGACACCACCTGGGTAACAAGTGAATACGTTTGTACAAGTAGTTTTCATGTGGTTCAAACTCATCAGAAAAAATGTATTTCTAGAGAATATATGTCAAAATAAACGAAATATTATTCCCAGTGCTAGTGTACGGCACTTAAAATGAAGATATCGGTTGTATGATAAAAAATCATCTTTCATATGATGATTATGTTTGAAATCTATCAGTAGAACTCTACTTAATGTTATATTTATTGGTTGTGACTGAGTATATGAAAATTCTACCGGTTGAGTAAGAGAACAGTGTATCTGCCAGATCAACTGGTGATGTGGAGTTTGAAAACATATAAAATCATCAGATATATCGGTAGAGTTGTGAGTGTATATACGATTTATCTTTAGAGCTTTACGTATAGATAAAATGTATCGTTAGAGTTTTGAGATCTATATCGATACGATCTATCGGTTGCGTTTTCAGTATATATAAGATGTATCGGTATAGTTGTGAGTATGATCTATCGTTAGAGTTTTGAGATATACATCGATACGATTTAACGGTAGAGTGTTGAGTATATAATAAGATCTATCGGTAGAGTTTTGAGTAAATATAAGATTCATCGGTAGAGTTTTGAATATATATAAGATTCACTGGTACAGTTTTGCGTATACATAAGATCTATCGGTAGAGTTCGAGTGTATAAAAGATATATCGGTAGGGATTTTATCATATGCAAGATCGGTAGAGTTCGAGTATCTGTAAGATTTACTGGTAGAGTTTGTATGTTGTATAAAAATAAAATATATAATCTTGGTCGACTTACAGGTTTGAATATTTTACTTTGGCAAGAAAAAAATTAATGTTACTTTATGTATATTTCCAGGTAGACAATGATTTATCTATTCATTAAAATATCCAATGATAATGTCATAGAAAACATTTAGATATATTTTCTATAATCGAGTATTGAATTATTATGAATCTACTTTTATCTACACACATATCGAGTGGGAAACAAACCTAAGTCAGTTAAGTGAATAAAAATCGGAAAAAAAAGTCTTATCTAATATTCTGTACGTAAATGTATACAATATCTGTTTATAAACAAATATTCTCGAAAGTAAATTGTTGTATAGTTTATTATGAAACGATCTGTTTTAAGTCATATGTCTCTTTTGTTTTTCATTATAAAGGTCGATGTAAGCTGTCTGACCTGTCGTGTGATGAAGGTTCGTGTTTCTCACATTATAGTAAATTTATGAATTAACAACATTATTCGTACAACAGTATTCCCTCTTTGCGTATTGTAGAGTTATCTTCTCTTGGGAGCAGGTATTGATTGTTAGGTCATTGGTTTGTGTGAGAAAATTACGTGGTTTTCTCAAAAATTGATGACGTTACTCTCACAAACAAATGACGTATCAATCAATACCTGCTCTCAAGAGCAGATAACTCTGCAATACGCACAGATGGAATACTACTTCATAGAGCTGTTCTTATCCTGCTATGTGTTAAAACATTTTCCTGGGCAGAGCCAAGCAAAAGTACAAATGTATATAATGACAGTTTTTGAGAGAAAGTGATATTTAACACATTACCTCCCCGTCTTAATTCACGATCTGAGTTTCTGTTTCTTCTTCTGAACAGTAAAATTATTAGCCTTACCTGCTTATGCAATCTTCATGCCACATATAACTCCTTATTCGTGAACATGTTATAGGTATCAGGATAAGCAAGATAAATGCACCATTTTGACATAGAAACTAACTATTAATGGTTTACTATTTGGAAAGACATTACCTTATTTGTACTAACTGTACAGTCATTATCATTATTAGGTTCCCTACTGGCACATTGTTGTGTCCACTAAGATCATTTAATCACTGCATAAGCTTAAGTTATCACTGAGCATCTGTTTTCATCATTAGTTTGGTACTGTAGGGATGGTCGATGTTTCCTTCAACTTGACTCTGATTTGCCCATGTTTCTGTTGTGAGATCGAATTTGAGTTACCTTTTTGGTACTTTTGTATGGTATCGTTGTATTGTTTTATTGTTTACCCCCACTCTGCATTTGTATTACTCAAAGACGGCTTAATTTGGCAACAAATACATATAATAATGCGTTTCAATGCTAATCGTACTCGTGTAATATAAATGTTCAATTTGTCACACAAGTTTGAATTTGTGGTGTTTCAAGTTGAAATATGGCTATGTTTTATTTTTTAGCAAAGACAAACTACATCGACGACAATTGCGATCAGTGTAAGTAGTTCAAAATTTGGTACTTTAAAATATCATACATTTGACTCAAAATGTCCCTATGTTTTAATGCAGTTACACATGTGCTCTACACAACTATTGTTTTTCTCGTATATAATTGTTCATTGAACTGCGTGATAGTTTGGATTTGCAAACAAAACAGTATAAAATACCTGTCCATCGATATGAACATGAAGATAGGTTCATTTGTTCGATAATATAAAATGCCAATCGACTCCAAGAATAAATCCTAGGAAACATGTAGAGATTTGGTATATTTGTTGCCTATATATCAGTCATAGATTAAAGCTATAAAGCTATAAAAATGTAGGTAACATCTCACATCCGGTGTCCATTGAAGTGAAGGTTTCAATAAGTATTCACTCTTTTCTATCCGTATGTAACTGTGTACTGAAGAAGAACGGTGATGGAATTGTCTTATTATTTTTGTATATTGTGGTTTACCAGTGTTAACGAAGATTTATTCACGTTTTGTTACATCAACGGTGTTACTGCCATCTAAATATTGTTACAAATGACTTATATAACTTTGAAATAATACATTTTCTCCTAATCTTCAATGAAATGCTAAATACTTAATTGATTAAATATTTCCATGTATTAAGCTAAATGATTTACATTATGATTTATGTATTCCGAATATACTTGTTGTATACTTTATTATTGTTTCCAAACATAGACGATCCTGAAGAAGTCAATAATGACTTACAAAAAGCGAAGTATAATTGGGAGCTTGACCGCATTGTGACGCAAATCAAGTGCAAGGTAATATAAACATTAATACTACTGACTTTTTACGATCAATTACGTAAGACATGGTTCGAGATACAGTGTACAATAAACGATATATGTTGATTCAAATACACAATTATCTAAACGTACATGTTCAGATGATATTTATAATAATAACACTTATAATCTTACTATTACTAATTGTGCAAAAGAGTTACCACAGCGTTATGGATTAAAACAAAATGTTCCAATTGTAACTTCGTCACGAGAAATGAAGTTTTTTGCCTGTTTTTAGATAACCATCGTTTGATTTAACTCAAACATTTGACTTTTAGAGCTCTGCTTTTTCTCATATCCGATGTCGTTAGGTATTTTAATATTCATCTTTACTGAGACGTCGGGGTCCTTCACAGACAGAGCTTTATACCATCTAACGGTCTACACAAGTGTTCAAAAATCACACCAAAAATATTACTATGATAATATCATAATTGTCCATGCTTTTACACGTGTTAAAACCAATGATAATCGAAAACATCGTTATATATAATCTGATTGTTACACGCCCTCGTCTGCCTCAGCGTCTGCTACATGATACGCCAGTACATGGGTCAGTCCAAGTGATGTAGTAGTCCGGGTTAGATAATAAAATTGAATGAAAAGAATTAAAAAAATCACTCATTTTGATATAATTTGTGGTCAATAATAACTTGCGTAATATGTTTCCATGTGTTATAATATTTCTAAAAGGATTGTAGCATTTTCGTATTGTTTTAATTTCAGGTATACAAGAGTAAAAACGACCTCTGTGACTTAACAAAAGACATTAAACATATGCTTAGGACCAACTGCAGCAACAAATCATAAGAGCAAGCTGACCAACTGAGCAACATGTTTCCGGAATATCATCATTTGTGATGATGCATATGTTTATCCATGTATATTCAGTCATCCGACAGAGATTTCAATACATACACTTTCACACGTGCTTGACAATATTACTGCCGTTTCAAGTGAGCGAATTTCTATATAGCTTATCCTTGTTATTGAGAAAATGACAAAATTACTTTTAAAAAAACCCAGACGCACACATTACTCACCTACTGTGTTCAATTCTGTCAGTTAAAAGCCATTTAAAACATGAAGCTACCAGAGGATAGAAAGGGTATGAAAATAGTGTTAAGCCATCACCTTTTCTGATTCGGTATCCTTATTCATTTTAATGGCACGTGATATATTCAGACAGAAGAAACGATTAAGCAGTATACATGTACCACCTTTACGTCAAGTTGTTCATATACTAAAATATCACGTTATAATGTTAGAACAGTAAAATGCTACAATGCCAATTACATGATATGAAGATGAAAGGCATCAATGTTTACGTTTTTTATTAAAAAGTCATCAATATATTCGTGTTCATAGTTTTTACATCATAGAGGCCCTTCTGTTTTACGTGTCCGTCAAATATTAAAAGAAGCGAAAATATTTACATTGTAACTCAGAATGGAGCAATGAATAGCGCACTCATTTTTTACCAAGACGACCGTGGTTCAATTTCCCAATTGGGTGAACACTTGCGTTGTTTTTTAAGGGGAATTTGGTTTCCTCCCACATTAAGAGTTAGACCTTTTATGCACTTTGATATGAACTGGCAAGAGGAAGTGGTCATTATAAACTGGAAAAACTTATGATGGTATATTGATGCAGATATATAAAGAAATAAATTTAGAAGCAAAATAGAAAAAGAGAAAATTGAAATAATCAAATAAAATTTATTTTTTTATTATTTTACAACAATTATGTGTCAAGTTAATTCAACTTATACCAATCACACTTGTTGACCCGGATGTTAGCTCGAAGAGAGTATCAAAGTTCCCGGAGGAAACCAACGAAGTCGGGCAGGTGACCCCATACCTTTTCCGATCAAGAAATCAAACACAGGGCACCTTGGTAAGCGCTAGTGCGTTATCCACTGCCCCTTCTAACCGCCACATTGAAACGTTAAAGTTACTGACAAGACCATCCAAACGAATAACGTTATTTCAATAAGTTATAGTCTGAATTCCTGTTTATTAAAATGGAAAATCAGGCTGATTTCCCAATTGTTATACACAACGAGTATTGACGAGTGATCATGTCAAAGAGAATTAAAGATTTTCTCTGTCATTAACAACAAATTAGTATGCGGCGTTAAAAATACTAATGGTGCGGAAAAATAGTGTTTTGACTCGCTATATTGGTTTGTAAAAAACTGTTAGGTTTTTGGACATAAATAAACATTAACTGTTTCTTTTCGAAATGCTTAGGTATAAATCAAGTATTTTTTAAAGTTGATTATAATGGTTATATTGTCAAAAACATTGAACCAAATATAAAAAAAGACCTATCTAAACTGAGGAAACCGACAATATTGATGCATAGCTTGGACTGCCAATCAACTTCACATGTAACAAAAGTCGTTAGTCACAAACAGATGAAACGAGTAAACAGATTCCCTGTTTGAAGTTATATTTCGATAGAAACCTTAACATGGTTTACGTCAAAATACGTACATTTGTATATGGATATGAACACTATCAGAATTTTTACTGTTTTAACCTGTGACACAAACAGATAAAAACATGGTTTTGCGGTTACATTTTCGTGTTTCCGGGAATAACAGAGGAAAGCCGATTGGGTATGTCTTGAGTGTGACGTAATTGTAAGATAATATTTGAATGAAGTTTCGTGCATATAGGATTACGCATTTTTATTCATACAAAAGGTGCTTGCATTTTACAAAAAAAGTATGAACAGAATGAAAAAACATTATATGTTTAATGTTATTTATACTTTCGTATCTGGTTCTCCTCAAGGAACGAGAGGAAGATACAGTTGTATCGCTACGCTTTTATCATACTGATTTGATTATTTCAAAACAATTAACGTATTGCACACTGTTGTCAATTGATAGCCATAGACAGCCATAATACAAACTCAATTTTAAATACCACAAACAAATTTCCAGCAGTACAGTTGGTCTTCATTTCTTTTGATTGCTATCTGTAGCTACAGTTGTGTGAAAGCACAACGCACCAAAATTACCGTGCATACATCGTTCACACACCGTCCGCACATCGTCAACACATGGTGCGCACACCTGTGCGATTTAACAATCGTTCGCCCCGTTGTGCGCTTCTCTCCGCACATTTGTGCGATATGGTACAATTTGTTGATCAATATTACGGAATGGAAAAAATACGGAATGCTCGTATGCAATAATGTACACTGTATATATCACTGTAATTTCTCATCACTATAATCAGAGACGTATACGTCTCTGCTATAATTAAGAGTATATACAAGTTTACAATGCGTGTAATACAGTATACAGTGACCGTTGGATTGTCAAGAATGGGTTTGGCTCCTCGGTAAAAGAACAGGTAAATAACAATTTGATGTTACCAGGCCTGTACTTGACACATAGAGCTGATATATGATACCGTATATGACCGTTATGAAAACTCAACTGGACGTTTAATATTTGTTATTTGCATTCGTTTTGGTCTATAGTTCCCCTTCATCTGGTTTTCACACCTTGGCGAGTTACGTAAGTGCCCCGGGCGGGGGAAACTACGGTCCAGGTACAAAGTGGCAATGTTTACCTGTGTAGCCGAGACTGTGTTGTAAATTTACACGTGTCGATTAAGGTCGTTTAAAAAACCCACAAAACATCATTTCTAAATTTAAGAAAGTATAGACAGAAAGATAAGCTTATAGTTGTAGCTAAAGTATAGAAACATACTACAAAAATCTAATTTTATGTTCAAACACGAAACCGTAAACCGTCAAGCCATTCCTTAATTTACACCAACCACGATTGTTATCGCCCAACGTTCGTCGAGCGTCCGCACAAATGTGCGCAAGGAATGATCGTCCAATTTTTTATCGTTCGCACTTCGTGCACACATCGTGCGCACACCGCGTGTAACGTTGTGCGATCCTACAACTGTAGTTTAATGCTTTAAGTAAAGCAGCGTTATTAAGATACAAAGTTCAAATATTTTATTAAAGTCAACTGTCTGTAAAATGTAAATACTCTTTCACCGCAATTTGATGTTTTGGATATATACAATTTAGAAATGCTTGATTAATAGTATTTCGGGATAAATCAAAACATGTATGTAATTCTACTTGCTACATCGGTATTGTAAGTTGATAGTTTGAAAACTCATTTTTCCATGTTCTAGAATGCCTAGGTGTCATAAAGCATACTAACAAAAACGGTTTTTAAGTACTTCTGCGGTCAAGGTCAAGGTAACGAAAACAAAATATTTTATATTATTATTGCCCTATTTACAACTAATACATGTTTAACAACTGCGTGGGTTGAATGGCTGCTGCTGACACTCAGATATGTCCTATCTATATATAGATATTTGGATACAGTGGTGGAAGGTCCGTCGTACATTGTATGCTAAAGCATGGCATTGCCTGTCGTGGCTTGTTATGATAAAGGATATACTAGCGCACGAGTGTACTGTATGCAGATATCTCCAACTTAGTGTGAGATTGTGGAATTAATCTTATTTTTCAGATTGAAGTTTTGAAAATTGAGTTCCTGATTTTAGCTAATTGTCTATGGTAACGTGTTTTGATTTGAGCTAATTGTCTGTGGTAACGTGTTTTATTAAACGCCTAGATTCATTGTTCATTTGTAGTAATCAAAATATTTATACGATAACAATACCTTGTCAAGAGATATTAAAACAAAAACACAAATATAAAAAAAATAATCTATATGATGTACATAATATTGAAAGTTACATCCTTAATAAAAGTAGGTTCTGCGTACAAAAGTAAACCATATCAAGATCGGAGGTTAGAAATCAGAAACAACGCAGAGTGTTATTGATCAGTGTCAGTGATGGAGATACAAAGCAAACATCATGTAGATAATTCGTGCCAAGCCACACTACCCAGTTGCAGTGCAAAAGGATGACCCGAATCGGGGGATATGCGTTGAGAGACGCATGAAACATGTACCAATCACATGACCGATATTCATCTGTCTCTACTAGTACTCATCAATAACAACTATCAAGAGTCAATGTTGGAATGGTGTACTGCATGGCTTTGCTGCCATTACTACAGAGTCGTCTTGAAGCCGTTTATTTGCTACGCTTAATTGTGTCGTGCACTATTATCCAAGTAAAATATTTACTTCAGAGGATATGCTATAAGTGTGCAATTCAGTTAGGTACATGATATCATGATATATCCAAAACAATATATAAATCAAGAGTATTCATAAACTATGTATTAAAGAAATATTTCGCTATGAAAATTGCTGACAATTAACAATTTATTGCTTTTATTCGAGATCGTGGGATCCAAATGGAAGAATTCACTACGTGCCTATTCATTAATGCATACTTAACCAAAAACTGTAAGATGAGAGAGTTTGATGATAAACGATGGAAATGATGCATGAAGATTTAAACGGATCATCTACAAGTTCATTAGAGAGCCCTTTGGTAACAGCTAGAATTAGGTAGCCACCAAAGACAACACAATTGCCTTAGATACAGCTGAAATTAGTGATGACGTATTCTGTAACGACTGCTATGTAACGACACTTTGGTCAACAACCAATGCTCATACATGTATTGTTTCTCAACAAATGATGTTCGTAAAAGTATTATTTTCCAAGACATTATGCACGTTTTACACTTTTCACAAAGGGTACAAGGCGTGAATGTTTTTGGGCAAGTAAGCTTTTTAGGGTAACGATAAACATGTTAAATGTTTCAAACACATCCCCGGTGTTCTGACACAATATTACTACTTCCTTCAGCCGGCTCAATTTTTTAAGGCTATACACTAAAGGTAAATTCATTCGACGTATTAAAGAGGATGGGTTACCATATTTTGCCTCTCCCCTAAACATTGCATGTAAAATCGTTTGCCAGTAAGTTGCATTTTATCCAGAGTTTGGCATTTCTTTTCAAACCATTAAGACTAGCATACTTGCTAGCATCGACTGATAAATGTATATTTTAATGCAAAGTCATATAGTAATACTTTGGAATAAAAAGTATGGTTCGCTTTGAGTATGATTTTACTTTGTAATAATACCGACTTTTTTCGATGATACACATCTAACAATCTGCTTTACTTTAATATTTCACTTGTATCGTTGGTTGATTTATATTTTTTGTTCTTTATCTGGGTAATCAGTTCTGATTTACGTTCTTAGTTATACTATGTACGGAACTCTACCGTATATCAGCATCATTAACATTTTTTTAGTGAACCTACGATAGCCCCCTCCGATGGGCGCACTCACCATACAGCCTAGCACATGTGTTACCCATCACCTCACAGAAGTTTCTGGCACTAAACCAACAGCCGCGTTACTTAACAAACGGAACGGCCATTGTAGTGTTAGCAGGTAAGTGGGGAAAACTTCATAATTATCTATTTCGTATGTAACGGCGTATTGCTCACTATATAAACTGATCGTGATGTAACAGCAACATGCAATGTATGTTAACAAGTGTACACCAATGTATGTCAAGTTGCCTAAACATGTTTCTTTTGCACTGATTTCGTTAAGGTTTACGAGCCGAAATGCACAGAGTGGAAACCGATTTGCGATGAATTTTACAAAAAGAACATTGTCCTTTTATTATACATTAATAGAAGAGATATACATCAATATTTGTTATAAAACTAAAAATCCTACATAAATCCGCGTTTAACTCGCATAAGCACAGTGGATATACCATGTATGTTAGTATTCAGCCACAGTGTACTAGTTTCACTTGTTTTAGTACACACCAGCTAATCAAAACAGTATGTATGCTATTCTAATAAGGTTCCAAATACATACACAGGTACTATATATCTATATACATCATGATACTGCGTTGTACCAAACGACAACGCTCATGGAATGTCTTGCATGTTATTCCTAGTGTCTGCTACAACAAGAGAAAACGTTGTAAATAACAATCAACCCTGATACGCAATCTACTATTTTGTACGTATATATCTCAAATGTATTAAAGCTACTTGCCTCTGGACTGAAAACTATAAAATTTATGCTTTTATGACGGCAAATGAGTTACATTTATTTTATTATGAAACCCTGGTATGCTGCATACGATATGCATGTAACTCATTCGTATTCATAACAAAATGTAACAGATGTCGGTTCGACTGTATATATTGTGCAAAAGAAGTATAGATGAAGTGTTTACAGTTGCTATGCAACCTGCATTATTTTGATGAGATCTTAATTAAATGTCCATCGGATACAACATCATACATTCAGTTATTTGACTGATGAACACAATGAAATAAGCCATGCTTTTATTTGTCATTTCTGATCTTTTTATATTTCAGTATTACAACGTTAGTGTCAAAATGGTGAATTTGGATAAATTGATTCCCGAACTTGGTGGTTTTGGATATTATCAGAAGAAGCTTCTTTTACTGCTAATACTTCCGATAGCTTCGTCTTCCATGTTCATGATCATAATGGTGTTTGCATTGTACACACCAAACCATAGGTAAGCCAACATGATAATTCGATCAATTCTATAACTATTTTCAGTAGGGGCATTGCATTTCTCGCACCTCAGACAGAGATATCCCATGCTATATTTGTCTATCTTGTCCGATCTGTGTTGTACCTTTGTAACCTACACTGTGAAATACGTTGTAATCTATGTAAAGACAGACTACGTTTTACGCGGAAGCATTCAAATGTAGTAAAGAGGTCATCATCATTTGAGGCCTAAGGCGGGATACTTTTAAGGTTTTAGCAAAATTTGATCGGGTTTTTTTTCGAAATAAAAGGTGCGAGAAAAAAATCAATTACCTGTAACTGATCAAGATCGGGTTATCACAGTATCGGGCTAAGATTCTGGAACATCCCAACCTCGACTTACGACTCGGTTGGGATTTTGTTACAGAATCTTAACCCTCGACTGAGATAACCCGATCTCGCTCAGTTACAGGTAATTGATTTTATTAGTGTTTGCTTTCAATAACGTACACGCGACTGCTGTGTTCGTTAGATCATAACGTATACATTAGTTGTATTTATTGAAATGCAAAATTTGTCAGAAATATTTACATGAAGATATATGCATGCCTTAGTTGTACATTTGTAATATTTCAAGTCCGGTCTAATTGTGTTATGAATATACTTGTCTGAGGGTTAAATCACATTCAGGTCTGATTTAGATTTATTGTAAGATATTTTCATCAAATCTAAGAAATTTCACAAGTAAATATGCATCTGAAAAGTAATGTCAAAAAACGATAAATGTATTTATCGTTTGTAAAATGTTTAAAGATTTAAAGGCAGTATTTCTTTAAACTAAAAAGTGTATTTCTTGCTCTCTTTCACGTTTCACCAAGTCCTGTAATTTAACATTCAGATATATCGGCCATGTGCTGTCTTTGGATAACAAGAAATGTATTGAGCGCATTGATTGTACATACAAAGGTACCCTTCAGAATTTGAAATCAAGTTCAATGCAACCTCTTCTTAAGTAACTTTCTTCGATTTTTATTCACAATATGACAAACAGGAACGACCTAAGCTGTGCGATAAGCGGGACGAGCGTGGTCTTTCCTTTTCTTGATAGTGGCACCCCCACATCCCTCTTCTTACCATTTACACATGTCGTAATTGATTCGGCATTAAATAACTTTATCCGAATATCGTGACTTCCGTGATAGATGTCGTTTGATTACCGCCGCACTTACGGAGGAGCGCCTACCACATTTTTACTGTCGTCATTGTTCACTTGATAATAAATGCTACTGTCCAGCACTCCTATACACAATCATAAGGTCCAATACTAACAAACATAGTGTTTGATCCGGATATAAACATTCATCTGGATATAAACATCCGTACCCGTATTTCAAAGCAACCTTTACAATACAAAGCGCAATCACACTCCTCCAACCGCCGGTTAGGTTTGGTATCAACGTCCTACATATAATAGCTAGGGTCATTTGAGGACGTTCTATCCACCTGCAGCATCGTAACAATAACATCCGTTTCATGCTTTATTGATTTAATTATTATTCTATATTCACTTCCTGTTTATTCTAAGCACGTGCCTTTTTGTTAAAAGGATAGTTTAATTTACACTATCTATCAGTAATTTCATAATTATCGAGTTTATGTGTCTTGTCGTTCGTATATTTAATATACTTTCTAATCAATTACCAAGAGTAGGGTTAAAGTTTTCAGGGACTACATTCCTAATGTAATCATATGATTTTATATAAAGTAACGCCGGAAACGTAGTCTTAAATCCAAAATCCAAAATACAATGAGTTCTAGGATGTCATCACTATACCGCAATAAGTCTTCAATACCTGTGTAGCGTTGTGGCATTATTTCCGCGGTCCAGAACTTTCGCGGATTTATTAACGTGTTTTTTTAATGGAGTACATTTTAAAAAGAGGATACGGTCTTAAGAAATAAACTTTGTTTGGTATTTTCCTTCGATAAGTTTAATTTAAATAGTTGCTTCCTGACTTTGTATTTCTTCTTATTACATTGTTGTTAAACGAATATTTCGTTGGCATAAGGTCCAGTTGTTAATGCATGGATTAATTCATCTTTCAAGTCTTGATTGTAATCAATATATCACGAAGCCTATTGATTTCTATAAAACCTGGGGTTTCCCCTTTCAATAACCATTTTTGTCCTGTCATTGTAAAACCATGATGTACACCGATAGGGATTTAGCTGAAATTGTTTAACAGGTTATATGTTTCTCCCAATACCCATTTGTGTGGACCTTCTACTTTAATATGGTAAAGCCTAGCACCAGCAAAATTCTGGAATACGTTGAGAGAACGTCAAATAAATATTTTAATTTCATCGTTGCACCTGTTCATAATCTGTGAAACACCTTCGAGCATACCTGAATATAGTTGGTGAACACGCATGTCATTCAGCCATGATGATATACTATCAAGGATATAGGGCAACATTTCCTGGCTAATCTTGCGATATCAAATAACCTCAGCTTTCGCTTTTATCATCCACACCGTTATCCTACTACCATACATTTGACATAACTTACATAACTAGAATACCTTAAAATTTTGCATTTGTGGTAGAATATAAATCTTGAAATTGAAATGTTGAGGAAAAGTTGATCAGGGTTAAAGTACATTTTGTCATTTCTCCAATGTTTTCTAATCCTCGTTACATATTTTACATAATACGTGCATAGATCCTGGTTTGTTTTTAAATAGACACATTTCAACAAATATTGTATCCTTAAAATCATATTTATCATCGTGAGTTGACGTTAACAAAATCTTTGATATTTATATTATTTCTTCAAGTACAAATGTATATGTACATGTATCTGCGGTATGTGCCATTTAGTGTGTACATGAACCTCCTATTCCTTTCATAGTATTATGAAACAAACAGGAACGTTAATTACTCTGTGATCTGGGGTCGTTTTACAGAATGTTCCTCTATTTTGTATCGTGTTGTTGAGCGGCAATATTTTCCGTTTGGTAATCTTTGTTGAGTTTGACCTATAACATCATTACGTATGTTTAAGCATTGAACTGTTTTTGTATGGTATTTATGATCTATTTGAATGACACAGCTTTGCAAGCAAACAACATAATGCGCGCTATATAGTGACAATGGCATGCAAATGTAAATAGTATGGCTTAAATACCGGCTCAGGGTAACCTTGTCTTTGCCAAACACTGTTCAAGAAATGGGACCCTATACCTAACATTTAAATATTGCTGAGCGTCTGATATTAAGAAAGAGCACATACATAACTCTGTTTTTGTACAATATCAAACATAAACAATAATGTGCCGTCGCTTTAGTTGTAACGATTCATCACGTTCTATTGTGTTCTATAGCAAAAAGCTATGTGATAATGGTGAATTCAAACGTGAACTAATCTCGACTTCGTTCCCGTTAATGTCTCTTTCTTATTCATATAATCATTTATCCAACCAAATGAAATCCATGATTGATACATATTTATATACATGTGACCACGTCTTGGCCAACCAGGTTTCAGGAAATTCGTATAAACAAAAAAATCCAATATGATGTTCTCTTTCTTTCTTTATTAAGTCATTATTTCGATGTTTTGACGCCAAGATATGTACGAAGGTTGTGAAAGTTGTGATGTATATTTTCTATTTCAAATTTCCACATCATTTGTGACAATGATTTATGTAATAGTCCTAACTCATTTCGAATAAATGAACAGTTAAAATTAAAATTGAATACATCTTGATTTATATCAGTGCCATATCATCTTTAACATGAAAAAAATGATATAATTGTATTGTTTTATAGTTTGATATTGTACACGTAAGACTTGTTATGTCTTTTTTCGTATACAGATGCAAGCCTCCACATGTGCAGGACTCCCGTGGGATCAATGCCTCATTGGAAGATCAATTCGTTGTCTCCGAATGCAATTTACAGCAAATAATTGAGGGTCCACTTAATACTACGGATGCCAAGCTATTCAATGACTCGCATCACATGATAGCGTTGCCGTGTCGGGAATGGGACTACGATGACGATGTATTTAAGGAGACCTTCACCACTACAGTAGGTAGACACAGAAACTCCTCGAGTTTATATAAACCACCATGTTAATTTCGAGGGATAGGTATTATAGACATTGAGACACATGATACATACAGTAGTGTAAACAAAACTCCAATTAGAACGCAAAGTCGATGAAATTAAAGCAAAATACAAAGAAAAGAAATCTACATGGGAAATGCAAAAAGAATAAGATCAGGGCCCGTATTCATAAAACCGTTATTATGCATGGATTTGTGCTCAAACCAACTTTCTTTTAACTTGCTTAGATCTTGTCAAACGATCAAAATTTCAAATGGAAACAGTTTTTACGCTTTAAGTCTCTTCAATGTTTTTCCAAATCATTCGAAAAAGAACTTTTTGTAATAAATTTATTACGGGAACAAGAAATTTGGCTTGAGCACAAATTCCATACTTGGGTATTCATGAATACGGACCCAGGTGTTCCGGAAGGGTAAACATTTCTGTCTCATCTGTGACATCCGCAAAGTGGCCCTTGGTCGAATCAAAGAAACATGACTGTGCAAAACTGAGAAGGGGAAATAAAACCGAAAGGCAAACTAACGAGCATAAAACACATCGATAAACATACCGCTCTAGGAAGTAAAAAGATAATGTTAGCGACCATACAGAATATCCATATATTCTTCATATTTGAAACTTTGTATACATTATAATAATGATATGAAGTTGTGTCTCCCGTAAAAGAATTTTGATTCGACGATTTTTGCAAATGTTATTGCCTTTTGTTCATTTCGGTATTTGATTTGTGTCCGGCAATCTCCTCCTACATTTTTCATCGGATCTCTTTGAAACTTGGTAAACATTATAATCATGATATGAAGTTGTGTCTTCCTTAAAATAATTTTGTTTCGACGATTTTTGCAATTTCAATATTCCTATTTCAATGTAAGAAAGTATATAACACCATATGGCATTCGACGGGCGTATTTTGTTCCGTCCCGCGGTACTCTTGTTACAGTTGCGATCTTAGCGATATGTTTGCATATTGCAATAATAAGACCCCAAGCACCCTTCAGTAAACCAATCTCCTACGTTGTCGGGTAAACATTAAATACGTTAATAAATAAGGACTAGGACACTAAATACTCCACGTTGTATAATATAGGCAGAACCAATCCTGTCGAGTATGAACTATTTTGTCCCCTTGGTTTACCACAGGCATGCTTATTTGTACCCACGAGGTCTACATTATTTTTAAGAGTGTCTACAAGCATGGACTCAGTCGCCAACTCCTCACATACACCATTGAAACACCCAAACAGTAAATATTTGATTGACAAAAAAACGAATCACCAGGTATCGTTCTTTCCGGTTCTCAACAGGATATAATGAATTAAAATGCAAACATAATTTCACAATTCAACCCCACACAAACACCAGAACCATCAGTACCGTATACTGCCACAAGATCACCAGGACCATCAGTACCGTATACTGTCGGAAAAAAACCACCAGGGCCATCAGTACCATATACTGTCATAAAACACCAGGACCATCGCTACCGTATACTGTCACAAAAACACCAGGACCAACAGTACCGTATACTGTCATAAAAACACCAGGACCATCCCAACCGTATACTGTCACAAAAACACCAGGACCAACAGTACCGTATACTGTCACAAAAACACCAGGACCATCAGTACTGTATACTGTCACAAAAACACCAGGACCATCAGTACCCTATACTGTCACCAAAAAACATCAGGACCAACAGTACCGTTTACTGTCACAAAAACACCAGGACCATCAGTACCGTATACTGTCACATTAACACCAGGACCAAGAGTACCGTACACTGTCACAAAAACACCAGGACCAACAGTACCGTATAGTGTCATAAAAACACCAGGACCATCAGTACCCTATAATGCCACAAAAACACCGGGACCATCAGTACCGTATACTGCCACAAGTTCACCAGGACCATCAGTACCGTATACTGTCATAAAAACACCAGGACCATCAGTACCGTATACTGTCACAAAAACACCAGGACCAACAGTGCCGTATTCTGTCAATAAAACAGCAGAACCAACAGTACCGTATAGTATCATAAAAACACCAGGACCATCAGTCCCGTATACTGCCACAAGTTCACCAGGCCCATCAGTACCGTATACTGTCACAAAAACACCAGGACCAACAGTACCGTATACTGTCATAAAAACACCATGACCATCAGTACCCTATACTGTCATAAAACACCAGGACCATCAGTACCTTATACTGTCATAAAACACCAGGACTATCAGTACCATATACTGTCACAAAAACACCAGGACCAACAGTGCCGTATACTGTCACAAAAACAGCAGGACCAACAGTACCGTATAGTATCATAAAAACACCAGGACCATCAGTACCGTATACTGTCACAAAAACACCAGGACCAACAATACCGTATACTGTCATAAAAACACCATGACCGTCCTAACCGTTTACTGTCATAAAAACACCAGGACCATCAGTACCTTATACTGTCACAAAAACACCAGGACCAACAGTACTTTTTATTGTCACAAAACACCAGAACCAAGAGAATCGTATTCTGTCAGATTATAAGTACTCCATGTTTTAGTTAAGCATCGTGCAGATATATTTGTGTCTTCTCAATAAAGGAGACAATCCAATATGAATGCGATCTGGGTGACCGACAAATAATCATGACGTCGTGATTATTTATCTGACACCCAGATTGCATTCATATTGGCTGTAAATGCAATCTGACAGGCGTCCAATCGTTATATTTACATTTCCTCATACGACCTGTCTTTTATTAATTAGTCGAATAAGCTGAATTTATATTTTCTGCTGCCGCAAAACCTCACTGGTCCAATTCTTGGAACAGCCGCTGACGGCCATTATCGGACCGAAAACTTTCCAAACAACGGTCGCCATTAAAAAATGGAACCAGACGCAAACTGTTAAACGCAGTTAAATGCTCTAATTTTATGTGCAGAACATTCTATTACGAAATTAAAAACCTACCTTCTTATTCTGGATGTCTTCATTGTCTGCAAAACCTGTCAAAATGCGACTTGTATGAACCAAAGGACAACAACAAGATGGCGGCTATCGTATTGGTGGGAGTGGTTGCTTACAATGACGTCACGAAACCCAAGGTCATGTGACCAGAAAATGCAGACTGCAGTTACTGTCCAGTCTAACACGATTCGTTTGCAACGCGTGTTTTGATTGGATACGGACCATATTCTAATCTGCGATAGAATCATGACCAATCGTGTTAAGCTCCTCCCATCGCACTTAAGCCACGCCCCGTTTATAACCAAAACAATATGGCGTCAAGCTCGCCTTTTAGCAAAATGATCCCGCTGATAAGGCTAGCAGGCAACAGAACAGAAACGATCGATGAAATGTATTTGTTTAATGAATTAAAAAGTGAAAAGTAAACATTCCTTGCTCTTACCTCCATTTATTACTGAAACGTTCGTTCCATCCGTGTGAAGGCATTTAGTTAGATTCGAAATCAAATGAAACATTTCACATGTGTCGTATGAATTTACACAAAACTCTTCACAAATCTTATTCTATACAAAGAATCACCGATTTTGTCGGTAAGCACAGATTGGTATGCATACTGACATGGAAATGTAAGAATTTGGTCAATATTAATCCAAGTTTGTCGTATAAACATTAGTAACAGGACGTTCACGAACAATCCAAATATTCCGCCTCGTCAACATACAGATCGAGCGCTCGCCAGTATGGGCGGGGCTAAATGACCGAGTTTTGAAAGCTTCTTTCCGATTGGTCAGTCTGCTGCAGAATGACAAGTCGCCAGTTCAGGTCACAAAGTACTTTACTACGTACTTTGTACAAGGAAATACAATGTTTCTAAACATATTAACATAGTTTCTTTGTTCATGTGTGCTAGAATGGGGATAGTTTGTACCAAATTTCATGTTCTTATAACCAGTATAGACACGAAAAAAACGTACTATCCCCTAAATAACTGCAGGCTCACTTTCCATAGAGTTAATGGAAAAGATGAAGGGTTTTGTAAAAAAACATATGTATACAGTCGTTTTTTTGCATGCTAAGTATCTTTTGTATTTGCAGCATAACCTCGTTTGCGACGAAACAGTTAAGATATCACATGCACAAATGATCTTCTACTTCGGTGTTGTGATTGGAGACGTACTCTTTGGACAGCTATCTGATTAGTAAGTGGTCTGTTGGATAACAACAACAGTATTAGAAACAAATTTTCGTTGTCAGTTACTCAGTATTACGACAATTATGTGTGATCTGTAACTGTGTATTCTCATATTCTATGTCATGTTATCATACTGCAATAACCGACAGTAATAATAAATATAAAACGTTTTGAACAACATTCATGTAAAAACCTCAAAAATATTATCCTGTTACATGTGTGACGAAAAGGAAGACATACAAATGAATATACTTCAAATTACATGTAAGCGTGCGTTTGTTTGTATGTGTATGTTAACATGTATACATATATGTATATATATAGTACGTTTTAATGTATTTATTTTATGTGTTTTTTAATTGTATATCTTTGTACTGTAAAGCGCTTTAGAGTGGCTTATGTCATAATTATCATAATTATGTAAATATATGTGTATGTGTTTGTACATAAGCATATATGAGTATGAATATGCACGTGTAAATTAACGTGTGTAAATGATGGTGTATATATATGTGTGTATGTATTTATATATTTCAAAGTGTTGGTCTTGATTTAAAGCTTCTTTTGGAGAAAAAAATAACTAAAAATCTAAAATCTGTTTTTCGAACAGCATTGGAAGAAAGAAGACATTGTTTATCACCATTTTTCTGCTGTTTATATTCGGAATATCTGCGTCGTGGTCACCGGAGTATTATACCTTTGTCATTATGCAGTTTGTCGTTGGAGCCGCCTGCAGGGGATGTTCAGTCTTGATGTTTGTAACGAGTACATGTCACCAAAGGTTTTGATTTCACATTTGTGTATCTACCTATACGTGTGTGATAAGGATGTAGGATGATTTAAATGTTCACTGGAAATATTTACGAAACAAATACAACGTATGCATCATCCCTACGTGCCCCCTATATGTGAAGCATTTGGATGTTTTAATTTCAAAAAGTTAATGTAAACTACAGAAATGCTAAGCCCTTGTTTTAATTTATCGTCTTAGGATTTATATGATCAGCACTATCCTGATGCCAAGTGTTATATTGTAGGATTTCAGTGATCCGATATCACTATCCTGATGCCTAGTGTTATATTGTAGGATTAAGAAGATCAGATATCACTATCCTGATGCCTAGTGCTATATTGTAGGATTAAGGAGATCAGATATCACTATCCTGATGCCTAGTGTTATATTGTAGGATTAAGGAGATCAGATATCACTATCCTTATGCCTAGTGTTATATTGTAGAATTAAGGAGATCAGATATCACTATCCTGATGCATAGTGTTATATTGTAGGATATAGGAGATCAGATAACACTATCCTGATGCCTAGTGCTATATTGTAGGATTAAGGAGATCAGATATCACTATCCTGATGCCTAGTGTTATATTGTAGGATATAGGAGATCAGATAACACTATCCTGATGCCTAGTGTTATATTGTAGGATTAAAGAGATCAGATATCACTATACTGATGCCTAGTGTTATATTGTAGGATATAGGAGATCAGATAACACTATCCTGATGCCTAGTGCTATATTGTAGGATTAAGGAGATCATATATCACTATCCTGATGCCTAGTGTAATTTTGTAGGATTAAGGTGATCAGATATCACTATCCTGATGCCTAGTGTTATATTGTAGGATTAAGGTGATCAGATATCACTATCCTGAGGCTTATTGTTATATGTGTTTGATGAAGGTGATCATATATCACTATCCTGATGCCTAGTGTAATTTTGTAGGATTAAGGTAATCAGATATCACTATCCTGAGGCTTATTGTTATATTGTAAGATGAAGGAGATCAGATATCACTTTCCTGATGCCTAGTGTTATATCATAGGATGTAAGTGATCAGATATCACTATCCTGATGCCTAGTGTAATTTTGTAGGATTAAGGTGATCAGATATCACTATCCTGATGCCTAGTGTTATATTGTAAGATGAAGGAGATCAGATGTCACTTTCCTGATGCCTAGTGTTATATCATAGGATGTATGTGATCAGATATCACTATCCTGATGCCTAGTGTAATTTTGTAGGATTAAAGTGATCAGATATCACTATCCTGAGGCTTATTGTTATATTGTAAGATGAAGGAGATCAGATGTCACTTTCCTGATGGCTAGTGTTATATTGTAAGATGAAGGAGATCATATATCACTATCCTGATGCCTAGTGTTATATTGTAGGATTAAGGAGATCAGATGTCACTTTCCTGATGCCTAGTGTTATATTGTAGGATTAAGAAGATCAGATATCACTATACTGATGCCTAGTGTTATATTGTAGGATTAAGGAGATCAGATATCACTATCCTGATGCCTAGTGTTATATTGTAGGATGAAGGTGATCAGATATCACTATCCTGATGCCTAGTGTTATATCATAGGATGTATGTGATCAGATATCACTATCCTGATGCTTAGTGTTATATTGTAAGATGAAGGAGATCAGATGTCACTTTCCTGATGCCTAGTGTTATATTGTAAGATGAAGGAGATCAGATATCACTATCCTGATGCCTAGTGTTATATCATAGGATGTATGTGATCAGATATCACTATCCTGATGCTTAGTGTTATACTATAGGATATAGGTGATCAGAACACACTATCTTCAGGCCTGATATTATGTTGAAGAAATGGAAGATACGAAATAAACTTACTTACCTCCTTGGTATGATAGAGTTGATCATCATTTTACAACTAGTCACATTTTGTAGAAAAGTGTATGTAATTATCGTTAAAATATCAAACTACCAATGATAAAGATATTTTAGTCGTTTAGGTTGATTATGGTAATCCATTAAATTTACGCTAAAATGTTCGTTATATTAATCAGTTGACGCTATATGATTAATTGTGTTATTTTGTAGGCTTGGAGTTCGTTGGGCCAAGTATACGTGTGTGGATTGGTCAGTATTTCAATATCTTCTTCGCGCTAGGCCTGTGCGCACTTTGTGGTATTGGTATTCTCATTAAAGACTGGCAGTATATACAGATTGCTTCCAGCTTACCAGTAGTCTTTCTGATGTCCTATTGGTTGTAAGTTATACAATAATATAATGTATTTTTGAACGGTTGCAACTATGAAACGACAAAAAGGTGTTTTTTATTGTGAAACTGTAGTTTTACAAAACAATGTTACTCGAAATAATTCGCTAATGAATGATTGAATTGGTTTTAAAGTTCTAGATCAGAATTATTGACTCGTCCTAAATAGTAGAAGTATATATGGTATTATAACTAATAAAGAAAAAAATCAAATGAAACTTGAAGCATTTTACATGCAGGCCTTATTTATGTTTTAATTGTCCTATTTGGTTGTTACAGCTTTTTAGACGAGTCACCACGGTGGCTATTGAGTAAAGGAAGACTGGAGGAAGCAAAGACAATATTGCAGAAAATTGCACGAGTAAACAATGTAACTCCCGACGAAAGCCTATTTGAACAACTGAAATGTGATGAGGTTATCCGGACAGAAAAAATATGGAGTTTGTTTACTAACAGGATTCTAGCTGTTCGATCGCTGGTTGTCTTTTTTAACTGGTGAGAATTTATTGAACATGCAAGCAAAAACTGCTTTTTATTTATATACAATCTTTTAATTTCCTTAGCATGAATTAAAATGTCTACCTTAACCGGTAAAACTATAGTATACTGGTTGCAAAATCGATGTATGTGACAATGTGTCATATGCAATATAATACAGAAAACGTCCAGCAACACGGGTTGAATAATGTTTACTATACCATGGGAAGGCAATAAATAATTTTGTATCACATTGAATAATAAAATTAACGTTTATTTTCTTTTCAAACATACACATGCGTAATAATACGCGCCGTAATATAAATATGTATTTAATATTTTTCTCATCAGGTTTGCTGTGGGCATGACATATTACGGTGTGTTTCTTCACGCAGAAAATCTTGGAGGCAATTTTTATCTCGCTATCTTTCTTCTGTCGGTGATCGAGCTCCCAGTACTCTTCCTCAATCTTTACCTGCTTAACAGATTCGGGAGGAGGAGAGTACACTGTTTCATGATGTTAATGGGAGGTCTGGCGTGTATATGTACGATATTCCCAGTGACATTTGGAGGAGACGGTAAGTAAAGATATAGCAACTATGATAAACTTTTGTTTGTAACTGTCATCACAGATTACATGCTTCCAGCGTGCTGACAATTGGATTAACGAGTACTCCGCGTTGGCGTGATTGTACGTCTGAGGGTTACACGATAGTATGTACATGTGTCGACGGAGAACGTGAACACACGAGTGGGACTTTATCACATGCATAACTATACATTATTCTGAAGAAAATAAATAAATAAATACAAACATACTTTATATATGAATATCCCAAACATATATTGTGTTCTTAAAACACCAGGTTAAGCAAGAGTGTCAGACGAACCAATGTCGTTGTATCTAATCACACTTTGATCTAAATATTACTAACGAGGAATTTTAGTCACAGACTATAGAATGGCGTACACATACTGTAATAATAATATAGACTTGTTTAATAAAACATTACATATCGTCCAATGATTATAAATAACCATGGTTATAGTGATTTTGTAGACAAAAGTAATACATCTTGTCCAATAATTGTAAATGAATATAATTATAATCGCTGTTCTGCCTGATAGCATCATGGAGAATTCACATAGGTCACATTTACCTTCAACCTTCATCAAAATTAGCGTATCACATGAACATGTACAACACTCTGCAGCATCATGGTAGACGCGGATAAGACGTAGATAAAACTCAGGCTATGGTGACGATATTGAACATTAATATCCCATTAACATTAATTTTTCATGTAGATTGAAATGTTTTTCTTACAAAAGTCATTTACCCACATCCGTTTGTTACTACTTTAACTAGATATGAGCAAAAGTATCTGCTGTATGTAGTTGTACATGCTAGAAAATACATCATTTCAGTATATTTAGAACAGAGAATTGTATCATTTAATTACAAACAATAAATGTTCGATTCTTTTTCATATATGAAAGATTTCATCATTGATATATAACAGGCCTACAACCACTGATCCTTGCTCTTGCTGTAATGGGGAAAATGGGAGCCTCCGGCGCCTTTGGATCTATTTACGTCCTTTCCGGGGAATTGTTTCCAACTGTCATTAGGAATGGAGCCGTAGGTGTTAGCTCTAGCTTTGCAAGGATAGCTTCGATGCTAGCGCCGTATATAGCTAAGCTGGTGAGAAAAAAAAACATGCTTAAAGATATAAACAAATTATAATAACATCGCTAAACCACGCTTGATAAGATACGTTGAAACTACATTAATACATTGTCTTAGCTGACATCTTATTCTTTCATGTATATACTATTTTTGATAAGGTAAAGAGGACACCCTGTGTTGAAGTGTTGAAGTGTTGAAGTGTTGAATTGTTAAAATTTATATTCACTCTATTGAGTTAGATTATTTATATAAAGCATGCTCAGTAGGACCCACATGAAACATGATTCCTACTCGAATAGAATACAAAAAAAAGTGTTTTTATCAATACCAGTTGACATGACGAAGTGCGGCGAATTCCCGCTGTGAAATTATCTCAATAATACACATGGGCTGGGATCAATTGAGCAATTAGTTAGAATAGAATGACGCAAATACAATCTATGTGTGTGTCTAAATAATTGAAACACAGCAATCAGCTTACACTAAAATAACCCACACAGATTTCTTTAGGGGTTATCTATTTTATGTTGACGTTTTCCTATTCTAGCGATGTTCTTTTTATATTTATTTTCTATTTGCAGGGTACGGATGATGTAGGTAGTTTTGGAAAAGCTATCCCTCTAATCATATTTGGGGTATGTTCTATCGCAGCTGGCCTTTGTTCATTGTACCTACCAGAAACAATGGGCTGCCGACTCCCAGATACAATACATGATGCTGTGGACTTCGAACTGTAAATATATTTTCTATTGAATCAATCAAAAAGATTTTGATAAATTTAAATAAATGTTATCGAAGAACTTTAAGAGTGGTAAATAGGTATATCTAAATAATTTTATTTCTTTTCAGATAAAAAAATAAATAAAAGATAGAAGAAAGATGAAACTTGCATAGTTACATGTCATAATGATTTCAGGATTAAAAGATCATATAGGAACGACAAATACTAAAGTTATTACCGAAATATCAGAAACAAAAAGAAAAGTAGCACATACGTTGTCGTTTAATACTTCAGTCCATATCGATGCATTGACACGATAGAGAGGAAAGTAACACAAAGCCTGTAAATATTTACTGGAGTGTTAACGATAAAAAAAAAACAGAGGGAGGAGAGTAATGCATTGGCTGTTGTTTAATATCAGAACGTTATCGATAAAACATAAATAACAGAGATGAGAGTAGCACATTGTTTTTTAATACGCGTCATCGACATATAATCATTGAAGAGAGAAGTAGCACAGTTCTGTGTATAACTACGCGTTATCATGGGATAGGAGGGTAACACATCAATTGGTGTTTAATACTAAGTTATATCATTGGATAGGAGAGTAACACATCAATTGGTGTTTAATACTACGCGTTAGCATGGGATACGAGAGTAACACATCAATTGGTGTTTAATACTACGGGTTATCATGGGATAGTAGGAACACATCAATTGGTGTTTAATATTACACGTTATCATGGGATAGGAGAGTAACACATCAATTGGTGTTTAATACTACGCGTTATCATGGGATACGAGAGTAACACATTAATTTCTGTTTAATACTACACGTTATCATGGGATACGAGAGTAACACATCAATTGGTGTTTGATGCTAGGCGTTATAATGGGATAGTAGGAACACATCAATTGGTGTTTAATACTACGCATTATCATGGGATAGGAGAGTAACACATTATTTGGTGTTTAATACTAGGCGTTATCATGGGATAGGAGGAACACACCAATTGGTGTTTAATACTACGCGTTATCTTGGGATAGGAGAGTAACACATTAATTGGTGTTTAATACTAGTACTTCGTTATATCATTGGATAGGAGAGTAACACATATATTGGTGTTTAATACTAAGCATTATCATGGGATACGAGAGTAGCACATCAATTGGTGTTTAATACTACGTTAAATCATGGGATAGGAGAGTAACACATATATTGGTGTTTAATACCTCGCGTTACATGTATCATTGGATAGGAGAGTAGCACATCAATTGGTGTTTAATACTACGTTAAATCATTGGATTGGAGAGTAACACATATATTGGTGTTTAATACTACGCGTTATCATGGGATACGAGAGTAACACATCAATTGTTTTTTAATACTAAGCATTATCATGGGATACGAGAGTAACACATTATTTGGTGTTTAATACTACGTTAAATCACGGGATAGGAGAGTAACACATATATTGGTGTTTAATACTAGGCGTTATCTTGGGAAAGGAGAGTAGCACATCAATTGGTGTTAAATTCTACGCGTTATCACGGGATACGAGAGTAACACATATATTGGTGTTTAATACTACGCGTTATCGATACAAAAACATGGGAGAGGGGAGTAACACATTAAGTGATGTTTTATACCAGAGCGCTATCGATAATTAGCATAGGAGAGGAGAGTAACACTTTTATTATTGTATAATACTAGAACGTTATCAATAACAAACATGATTGATTAAAATAACACGTTGGTTGTTGTTTAATACAGTATAGTGTTATCAATACATAAACATTGGGAAACACAGTAACACATCTGTTGTTTTTTTATACCTGATCTTGACCGATAAACAAACATAGGAAAGGCGAGTAACCCATGGATTGCTGTTTATTTAGGCTTCGAGAAGATCGAAACCAGGACGACGAGATTGCTGAACTCGAGACTTTGAACGAAAAACAAAGTTAATGGACGACTGATGACGAAGAATATTTTTTATGATTGTTTATCTAGCTTGTTACACTACATTGTGTATTGTGTATTGTGTGCAATGTGTATTATTACAATTATATTTCCATATACACCAGATATGCACTCGGGACACGACTGTAGCATTAACTTATCGGGTCAGATGAGTGCGAAATAAAGACATTAAAATTGTTTTATAAATGGAATTTTGGACTCAGGAAAAGGCACATGTTGACGATATCAATACCATTTTAGGTAAAGTGAATTATAGTATAATCCACATCGTTAGAAGACAAGGACAATATCTGAACTGTGAGTCTGTATAAGTTATTAATGCATTCTGGTAAAAGTCTGATAATATTTGATGTGGGTTGTAATGTACATGTAATTTCTCTGTAAATCAAATTCCTGGTTTGTACAATGATATATTGAATAACCGATCAAATAATATGTGTCAATAATAACACGTGTGGAATTTTTCCTTTTAATGTACTCAGCTTCCATAATTGTCACCTGGTAACAAACCTCTGTCGGAACTTGATAGCAATGTACACTTTTATATTTCGTTAGCTTTGTTTTACTAATTGGTGATCACGTATCATTAAATATACATACATTGTACACGCCAAAATGCAATAAAGTAGTGTACTTTGACAACAATGTATTACTGCTTTATCATCTGTATACAATACTTTCCGTGGTGGTGTTAATCATATTTGATCAGGCGGAAGAAATATTAAAAAGTTTATCCAGAGACTTTGCACCAGATCATCTGTGGATATCAGAATGATATCGGTTAGTATGTGGAACCACTATGTCTTTATCGAAATGTCTGTGTCATGTACATGTAATAAACAATAGGAATTGAATAAAACAAGACACGTACACTACGGAAGTATTGTAGTATGTAAGGTTATGTACGTATATATAAAACAAGGACCAATCGCATTATGATAAGATACCAAAATTAACTATAGAATATCTAAATGGGCGCTAAAGGCCTGTAAATTACAACATGGTTAAAGAATCTGCGAAACCAGCGTGCATAGTGTACAGCAATTTCGTTTTCACGAAAAGAAGTTGCAGATATTTTAGATTCAGACGATTAATCTATAATTTTAATTAGGAATATATGCTTCACACTTAAAAATAAAAACATTTTAGTTTTTGTTTTTCTATTTTTCTTTTTGCCATCCTGTTTTTAAACAATACATTATGAAAAAAATGTATGTATGAGATGAGGGTGATAAATTACTTATCGAAAAAGTGTTAATAAATATTATTGTCTTGTTCTGGATTTTGGCTGTATGATACATTATATGTCTTGTGATATAAAATGGCTTTTATAGAATTGTAGTGGATCTATAGTGTTGTTTTTTATATGAATATAAACATAACATAACTTCCCCATGTGTTTTATTCTGTTATGATATGCAAATACATTTTGTACATGTTTACTATTCAATATCCATATATGTGGCATAAAGAGAAAAAAACAATGCAAAGAATCAAGGTAAATTTTTATCTGAAAATGCAAACAATAGAACAAAAATTATATTTACAGAGAAACCATGCATCTTAGGTTTACGCAAACTGAAGTACAAATGCATAATCAACAAACATAATATAGAGAACTAGAAGATCGGATGTTATCAGTAAAGTACTGACGAACACCATCAGCTGAGATCAAAAACATGTTCATGTCACGTGTAATGTTGTATCAAAGTCGGGTACTGCAAGGCCTATGTAACGTAATATTGGTGAAATACTGCATGCATTTAAGTTAGCTGTGAAATGCAACCGTGTTGATACAACTATTGCCTCATTCAGGCTATTGTATATGGTTACCCACATATGCAAAACATGTTACAAGGTTCAAACTTTCATTTCAATTGAATATATGTGTGCGGACATATAAACTGTCATGGTTTCAAGTATCAGGATAGAGCAAAAGAATAGAAGGCAGTGTTGTTACATATGTACGACAAAGTGATGTTCCTCATTATGGACAAGAGTTGTTTGGGGTCGATTCCGTTAATTTCTTTACGCCGAAAGGATGTCATCCTTGCATTGTATTGTTCTGTTTATCAGTGAATTAAGTCTGTCCATCTGAAATAAAGCAAAAGAAAGATATGAACAATCTATGAAGGACATATGTTCTCTTAGCTCTTCATTTCACCAATGTCTCTTTAAAACTAATACCAGATCTAAAAGGTGCTTATGTCTCTCTCCCACTAATACCATCTAAAAGGTGCTTATGTCTCTCTAACACTAATACCAGATCTAAAAGGTGCTTATGTCTCTTTAACACTAATACCAGATCTAAAAGGTGCTTACGTCTCTCTAACACTAATGCCAGATCTAAAAGCTGCTTATGTCTCTCTAACACTAATACCAGATCTAAAAGATGGTTATGTCTCTCTAACACTTATACCAGATCTAAAAGGTGCTTATATCTGTCCAACACTAATACCAGATATAAAAGGTGCGTATGTCTCTCTAACACTAATACCAGATCTAAAAGGTGCTTATCTCTCTTTAACACTAATACCAGATCTAAAAGGTGCTTATGTCTCTCTAACACTAATACCAGATCTAAAAGGTGCTTATGTCTCTCTAACACTAATACCAGATCTAAAAGGTGCGTATGTCTCTCTAACACTAATACCAGATCTAAAAGGTGCTTATGTCTCTTTAACACTAATACCAGATCTAAAAGGTGCTTATGTCTCTCTAACACTAATACCAGATCTAAAAGGTGCTTATGTCTCTCTAACACTAATACCAGATCTAAAAGGTGCTTATGTCTCTCTAACACTAATACCAGATCTAAAAGGTGCTTATGTCTCTCTAACACTAATACCAGATCTAAAAGGTGCTTATGTCTCTCTAACACTAATACCAGATCTAAAAGGTGCTTATGTCTCTCTAACACTAATACCAGATCTAAAAGGTGCTTATGTCTCTCTAACACTAATACCAGATCTAAAAGGTGCTTATGTCTCTCTAACACTAATACCAGATCTAAAAGGTGCTTATGTCTCTCTAACACTAATACCAGATCTAAAAGGTGCTTATGTCTCTCTAACACTAATACCAGATCTAAAAGGTGCTTATGTCTCTCTAACACTAATACCAGATCTAAAAGGTGCTTATGTCTCTCTAACACTAATACCAGATCTAAAAGGTGCTTATGTCTCTCTAACACTAATACCAGATCTAAAAGGTGCTTATGTCTCTCTAACACTAATACCAGATCTAAAAGGTGCTTATGTCTCTCTAACACTAATACCAGATCTAAAAGGTGCTTATGTCTCTCTAACACTAATACCAGATCTAAAAGGTGCTTATGTCTCTCTAACACTAATACCAGATCTAAAAGGTGCTTATGTCTCTCTAACACTAATACCAGATCTAAAAGGTGCTTATGTCTCTCTAACACTAATACCAGATCTAAAAGGTGCTTATGTCTCTCTAACACTAATACCAGATCTAAAAGGTGCTTATGTCTCTCTAACACTAATACCAGATCTAAAAGGTGCTTATGTCTCTCTAACACTAATACCAGATCTAAAAGGTGCTTATGTCTCTCTAACACTAATACCAGATCTAAAAGGTGCTTATGTCTCTCTAACACTAATACCAGATCTAAAAGGTGCTTATGTCTCTCTAACACTAATACCAGATCTAAAAGGTGCTTATGTCTCTCTAACACTAATACCAGATCTAAAAGGTGCTTATGTCTCTCTAACACTAATACCAGATCTAAAAGGTGCTTATGTCTCTCTAACACTAATACCAGATCTAAAAGGTGCTTATGTCTCTCTAACACTAATACCAGATCTAAAAGGTGCTTATGTCTCTCTAACACTAATACCAGATCTAAAAGGTGCTTATGTCTCTCTAACACTAATACCAGATCTAAAAGGTGCTTATGTCTCTCTAACACTAATACCAGATCTAAAAGGTGCTTATGTCTCTCTAACACTAATACCAGATCTAAAAGGTGCTTATGTCTCTCTAACACTAATACCAGATCTAAAAGGTGCTTATGTCTCTCTAACACTAATACCAGATCTAAAAGGTGCTTATGTCTCTCTAACACTAATACCAGATCTAAAAGGTGCTTATGTCTCTCTAACACTAATACCAGATCTAAAAGGTGCTTATGTCTCTCTAACACTAATACCAGATCTAAAAGGTGCTTATGTCTCTCTAACACTAATACCAGATCTAAAAGGTGCTTATGTCTCTCTAACACTAATACCAGATCTAAAAGGTGCTTATGTCTCTCTAACACTAATACCAGATCTAAAAGGTGCTTATGTCTCTCTAACACTAATACCAGATCTAAAAGGTGCTTATGTCTCTTTAACACTAATACCAGATCTAAAAGGTGCTTATGTCTCTCTAACACTAATACCAGATCTAAAAGGTGCTTATGTCTCTCTAACACTAATACCAGATCTAAAAGGTGCTTATGTCTCTCTAACACTAATACCAGATCTAAAAGGTGCTTATGTCTCTCTAACACTAATACCAGATCTAAAAGGTGCTTATGTCTCTCTAACACTAATACCAGATCTAAAAGGTGCTTATGTCTCTCTAACACTAATACCAGATCTAAAAGGTGCTTATGTCTCTCTAACACTAATACCAGATCTAAAAGGTGCTTATGTCTCTCTAACACTAATACCAGATCTAAAAGGTGCTTATGTCTCTCTAACACTAATACCAGATCTAAAAGGTGCTTATGTCTCTCTAACACTAATACCAGATCTAAAAGGTGCTTATGTCTCTCTAACACTAATACCAGATCTAAAAGGTGCTTATGTCTCTCTAACACTAATACCAGATCTAAAAGCTGCTTATGTCTCTCTAACACTAATACCAGATCTAAAAGATGGTTATGTCTCTCTAACACTTATACCAGATCTAAAAGGTGCTTATATCTCTCCAACACTAATACCAGATATAAAAGGTGCGTATGTCTCTCTAACACTAATACCAGATCTAAAAGGTGCTTATGTCTCTTTAACACTAATACCAGATCTAAAAGGTGCTTATGTCTCTCTAACACTAATACCAGATCTAAAAGGTGCTTATGTCTCTCTAACACTAATACCAGATCTAAAAGGTGCTTATGTCTCTCTAACACTAATACCAGATCTAAAAGGTGCTTATGTCTCTCTAACACTAATACCAGATCTAAAAGGTGCTTATGTCTCTCTAACACTAATACCAGATCTAAAAGGTGCTTATGTCTCTCTAACACTAATACCAGATCTAAAAGGTGCTTATGTCTCTCTAACACTAATACCAGATCTAAAAGGTGCTTATGTCTCTCTAACACTAATACCAGATCTAAAAGGTGCTTATGTCTCTTTAACACTAATACCAGATCTAAAAGGTGCTTATGTCTCTCTAACACTAATACCAGATCTAAAAGGTGCTTATGTCTCTTTAACACTAATACCAGATCTAAAAGGTGCTTATGTCTCTCTAACACTAATACCAGATCTAAAAGGTGCTTATGTCTCTCTTACACTAATATCAGATCTAAAAGGTGCTTATGTCTCTCTTACACTAATATCAGATCTAAAATGTGCTTATGTCTCTTTAACACTAATACCAGATCTAAAAGGTGCTTATGTCTCTCTAACACTAATACTAGATCTAAAAGGTGCTTATGTCTCTCTAACACTAATACCAGATCTAAAAGGTGCTTATGTCTCTCTAACACTAATACCAGATCTAAAAGGTGCTTATGTCTCTCTAACACTAATACCAGATCTAAAAGGTGCTTATGTCTCTCTAACACTAATACCAGATCTAAAAGGTGCTTATGTCTCTCTAACACTAATACCAGATCTAAAAGGTGCTTATGTCTCTCTAACACTAATACCAGATCTAAAAGGTGCTTATGTCTCTCTAACACTAATACCAGATCTAAAAGGTGCTTATGTCTCTCTAACACTAATACCAGATCTAAAAGGTGCTTATGTCTCTCTAACACTAATACCAGATCTAAAAGGTGCTTATGTCTCTCTAACACTAATACCAGATCTAAAAGGTGCTTATGTCTCTCTAACACTAATACCAGATCTAAAAGGTGCTTATGTCTCTCTAACACTAATACCAGATCTAAAAGGTGCTTATCTCTCTTTAACACTAATACCAGATCTAAAAGGTGCTTATGTCTCTCTAACACTAATACCAGATCTAAAAGGTGCTTATGTCTCTCTAACACTAATACCAGATCTAAAAGGTTCTTATGTCTCTCTAAAACTAATACCAGATCTAAAAGGTGCTTATCTCTCTTTAACACTAATACCAGATATAAAAGGTGCGTATGTCTCTTTAACACTAATATTAATCTAAAAGGTGCTTATCTCTCTTTAACACTAATACCAGATCTAAAAGGTTCTTATGTCTCTCTTACACTAACACTAGATCTAAAAGGTGCTTATCTATCTTGAACACTAATACCAGATCTAAAAGGTGCTTATGTTTCTCAAACACTAATACCAGATCTAAAAGGTGCTTATGTCTCTCTAACACTAATACCAGATCTAAAAGGTTTTTATGTCTCTCTAACACTAATACCAGATCTAAAATGTGCTTATCTCTCTTTAACACTAATACCAGATCTAAAATGTGCTTATGTTTCTCTAACACTAATACCAGATCTAAAAGGTGCCTATCTCTCTTTAACACTAATACCAGATCTAAAAGGTGCTTATCTCTCTTTAACACTAATATCAGATCTAAAAGGTGCTGATGTTTCTCTAACACTAATACCAGATCTAAAAGGTACTTATGTCTCTCTTACACTAATACCAGATCTAAAAGGTACTTATCTCTCTTTAACACTAATACCAGATCTAAAAGGTGCTTATCTCTCTTTAACACTAATACCAGATCTAAAAGGTGCTTATGTCTCTTTAACACTATAACCAGAAATAAAAGGTGCGTATGTCTCTCTTACACTAATACCAGATCTAAAAGGTGCTTATGTCCCTTCAACGCTAATACCAGATCTAAAAGGTGCTTTTGAGTTTGCCTTTGAAACTTCAAATAGTTATATGATTTTGTTCAAATTAGGAAGTTTCTTCATATTTATGCAGTTCAGTTGAGCAATAAACGATTACATTGTTTTAAAAACAAAGTATAAGCTTTAAGCTTTCTTCAAATAGAGTGGTTGTACACACTTTGTTTTTTCATTAACATAATCTTTGTTAATTTTTATTTTTAAAAGGTTTCGACTACATCCAAGGGGACAAACCGATGTAACTGAAAACTGAAAAATCCTTTTTTGATAAAGTCGTTGTCATTTCACCAGACATATTACCATGCACTCTCTTCCAGTCGTTAATTATCTAAATCAACATTTTAAAATATCTGGCTTTAAATAACGTTGTGGCGCAATTACACATTTTGCCATTTATGCCTTAATTACATCTAAGATACCTGACCACTGAAATCATTCTGATAATCATTATTCAGGTAAATAATACAAATATTTAGATATTGGTTTCCTTTATAATCTGAGATATGATGTCGAATGATTATAATGTATGTGGACGTATGAAAATATACAAAACATCTTTCATAGCAAATGTCTACTATTTTGTCGTTATTGATCAAGTTTGAAAATTACAATTATTTTTGTGAAGATATCATTTAGTGAATCATAACCGTTTACTAGAAATCTATATAAGTAATCGGTCGAAATATTTCCCCTCAATACATATTCATTACTTTTAGTTTTGATGGATATCTATATATAATAAGGAAGAAATGTATCACAACAATATGGTCATTAGGCAATCGGAGAAAATGATAATCAAGCATTGCTTAAACGATATTCATCCTCTACTCACCAATTTCAACAAAAAAGAAATTAATGTTTCGAATGGAGAATATCTGGTATTTCCTGTGCGTGTATACTGTTTAAATCAATCCTGGATTTATAAATCCTATATCTGGTCAAAACAAAGTTCCTTTACGGTATATCTGTGTTACTTGTAGTGTATTTATTGAACAGACTAAAATAATTATATAAGAGAGAAAAAAGAATACGTATACAAACAATTCTCAGCTAGCATATACTGATTTCGGACTTGAAATTCACCCTTGTATCAATGTCTTTTATCACTCATCACAGTAAGATTTGGATAAATTGCATCAACTATATACATTTATAATCAAAACCAATCAATCAAAATTCTTCAATGTTACTTACCTTGTCAAGCAGATCTTTGCTGACGCACTTAAAACTATCGGTATTCGGCCTGTTTCGGGTACAGTTAGTAGAACGACCTTCCGCTGTTATGCGAAAAAACAAACACAAATCAATTTCATATGAAAAGCAAGTAGATGGGTTTGTTTCGTTAACATTATAATCATATGATAACTGCTTTGATATGGGCGACGGTACATCTCGAGTAGGAATCTTCTATTTAAACTATTGAGGCACACTAACGCTACACTGTCGCGGTGTAATAAAACCCGCTCAGAGTCATATTTCGTGTAGCCAACACGACAGAAGACACGTTTAGTGGTATGATATGAATACAAACTTACCTTCTGGAGTCATTAACGACAACGTTGAAATCAAAATGAAGATGAATACCAATGATATATTCATGTTAACGCTATTTTATGAAGGTAAGTCAACTTTATTATCTCTTAAGTGTTTAACGGCAAGCTGTCACTGAAGTTCTATTTATATACCACGGTACTCCTACACATTACACATAACATTGTGTCACTAGGGGAAGCACCTATCCTGGTCGATATAGTTACACCAACACAAGTGAATCATTGATGTAGTTATCAAATTATATATATCAAATTATCAAAAATGTCATTAATTTGAAATATTTCACTAGACTGTGGTTTTATTCGAGATATCTTAAGCAATTGCATTTCTTCATAAATTCTTAACATTTGAATCAGACTCATCTCATTGATTTAATGAAAAGAAATGAAAAACATTCTATTCTTACAGTTATAACGTGTGCATTTTAATCATCTCGATCGGTCAATTAAATATAGTTTCAGCAGATAAATCTTTACTGGGCCTCACGCATTCTGCGCATGAATCAGTACACTTTAAATATCTTTTATTATGCTTACAAAAATTGTTAAAATACTTTCATGTCTAATGTTAGATTAATAAACTAAAATTATTTACATATTACTTAAGACTATTGTTTGATTGTCTCCCCGGTTCCAGTTGCTATTTTATGTATCTAATTCACCGTGCTTTGCCTTTAAAACAAGTACATGCATTTTGTTTTGAATTCTGCTATTGTGAATATTATAAGAACAGATTTATGATATTGATTTAACAAACTCAATGTAACTGTTGATGATACACCAGGCTTTTATTTAACCCCTGTACCCAGTCAATGTTTTTGCTGTCAATAATACTCTCCTTACGGCCTTTGTATCAAAGTATTTGAGTTCACAGTGGCTAAACAAATATGTAATTTGGAGAGAGATTGCGGCTTGCTGTGACAAGATGGTGAGGAAAAAGTCATCAGTAAAATCTAAATACACATAATATTTGTTTCTGAACATATTTCAGTCAATAAAAGTATCTTGGTGTATGTGTGGGGTTTTAACCATAGCTAGGAAACTGTTTCTTATATGATAACCGAATTATCTCCCCAGCTCTTATTTAAATGAAGTTATTATAATCTGATTTACTACTATTTAGAAGTAATTCGTTATTTTAAAGACCACAAAAATGTCTTCACCCAACACCACTAAATAATGACGAAGCATTTCACAGCTGGTCATTTTGGAAAAGGAACTGGGGGCAACAACAGTGAATCATAATGATTTCTGGAAAGAAAAAAAAACGATGAAAAAAATATCCTTTTATTTATTATGGTTTTTGCGAAGATCGGTTACTAACATGTATGCATCCAAAAGTAAAGGTATTAAGTTTACATCCCTACTTTTACATAATGTGAATAAAATATAACACTGATTTAGCAACAGAATGCCTCGGTGTTTTTAAATAGTTATTTATGGTCCTCCTGTACGTTGTTTGACTCTGCATATTGTTTTCAATACCTTTTACGTGAAATAGATATTGATCCCTGTCATGAATAAAACATAAGGTGGCTATTTCTGTAAATAAACTGGGCAGTGTTTTCTGTACACAGTTAAACATAAGCTTATTGGTCTCGACGTAGACTGGCTACCAGCCCCTATGTTTTTATGAAGTATTTCTCAGCTGCATTTTACTACTAGCTTATCTCCCCCTAGTTTAGAACTTAGGATCAGTCATCCAAGTGATCAATTTTTTTTTAAGTTAAACGTTTTTCTTAATAATTCAATATTCTAGAGACGGTGGCCAGTCTAGTCTCGACGCTGACGGACTTCTCTGAATCCTTTTGGAGAAAGCTATTAATAGTAACATATACACAATTGGTTTACGTATCCCAAGACCGAAATGTATCATTGTTAGTTCGCAACATGGTATCGGTACGTTGACCCTATCAACCTATCCCGTCAAACTTTTTTTATGTAAATATGATAAAATATAATAATTATGTAAGACTTTAAATGTACTCTGTTATTCAGTAATGCTATTTATGCCGTTTCCCAATAAACCTTTATACGACTGTGTTAACAGACAAACATTAAATATCATTAAAACCATTATTAATTTATCAATACGGTTATCATCTTTTTCTCTCTGTTCCCATCTTGAAACATTAAACTTGTTTGAGGTTAACACTGTAAATACTGATAATACTGAATAACGTGTTATTCTTAGTTTCAACAGTTGTAAAATTCAAAAACAAAATTCTGAAGTTTACACCACAGAAAAACATACAAATCATTTTAAGTTCAAAACGTTCACATGCTCTACATGATCCTTTGTTTGATAGGACTGTAATACAAAATACATCAGGCAAAATGATCACTACGCTGCGCATTCCATTCGATATACTTCGGCATTCCATTCGATATACTTCGAGCACTGTTTGTGTATGCAGATATGTATCAGCCATAAAGACAAGCTTATACTGTAAGCTTTTCTTGCGTCTTATTTCAAAATAAAAAACACGCTCCCCTAACTATAACAAAATTAATATATCAGTTACATAAAGACAATTACATTCATTAAACTGTCAGTGTATTAATTTCGCAAATTTCACAATAATACCGCATTGTATTACATTATTACCTATTAAAGCTAACCATACATTGTCTCTCTTTCACGATTCAATACATTTTTTTGTAGATTAACCGGATATGAAGTGTCGGCAATGAACGGTATGCGTTGAGCAAAGTAGCCCATCCTATCTGAATCTGTGAGTAAGATTCTTTTCTTTTGCTTTTTCCATTATATAAAAAAAGGTAGGCACATGCACACCGTATAACATCTTTATGAAGACTGTGACAGGAGGATTCTTTGTGTTCGTCACCAATGTAAACAGGAACATCCGGGTTACATATATTTAGTAGCTCATCAGCTATTGTTACTGATGGCTTGACTGGTTTTTTTTACATTCTGTTAGCATTATACTTCCAGAAGCTACGATCTGGGCATGCTTTCTGTATAAAAAGCGGCTAATGTTCATCAGCTTCATATTCAATTTTACATATGAGGAATACAGCCACGATGCGATCACTGAGTATGATAACTGTATTCATTATCGTTCTCTTGGTGGAATTGAAACCCGGAGAAGGTTTGTGTTCATAATTCATATCATAATTATGATAAAACTGTGTAGTCATTTATTGTAAATATTATTGAAATAGTCTTGGTACCTTATAGTTTATTGCCATTAATCTTATTATATTCTACAAGTATCCTTTGTTGCGTGTTTTTCATAAGCACTGTACCCTATCAGCAATGTATACTGTAGGTTAAGTTGAATATCTCCCGGGTTTTCAGAAAAGCACTGTCATTGTTAATTTATTCATAATTCATAATGTTTATTATGCGTTTAAAATTATCAAAGTACAGTCGTAACATATTACGAATAATATTTGACTTTGATAACAAACTATCAATAGTTATATGGGTGATTTTAGGTTTTATATATACATATATATAGATACTGAATTTACTGAAATCTTTAAATTTGTTGTAAACTGTACGTTGTCACATCTTGTCAGTATCCAATCATATTTAATCAATATTCATTGGACGACATTTAAATGTATCAGCGGCATCGTTACTATCATCGTTGTTAATGTTTCAGCTAACCATCATCCAAGCAGGCATTCAATAAAACAAAAGATTAGGAAACTAGAGGAGATGGAAACATGTGTGAGTACAAATCATGTTAAAGTTTAAGGTGTATATATCTATGTATTATCACGATATCTTCCACTACATGAGTTTCATCTACAATACATTATAGAAATATTTTTCAATGTGTTGTTATATATACTGCAATGTAAATATTACCAGAAAACTAATAACGACTGTGCAGTCAAACGAATTTTTTTTTCTCTCATTTTTTTCAAGGCAGTCCGCTTCTTTTACAAGACTAAACAATACTAAAATCAATAAAGAAAAAAAACCATTGTCACTTATGACATCTTCTGATGTAATCGCGTATCTCCTCGGTAGGCTTGAAACAGAAGGCTAATTATGGCGAAATGTTAATTGAAGACGTGGGTTCAGGTTAATTAGTAGACCCAAATGTAAGTAAAGATAGTGAGAAAATCTAACCAATACCATTTGATTCGTTTCCATGTGTATGTCTATACATTGCGATTAAGGTACTCATATTACCAATAGACGATTTGTCAATACGACCATGTTGATAGTATTGGGCTATTGGTCATTTCATTATCGAAACCTTTGTTTTGAAGTCATGGGAACTGAGAATATGTCTTGGCCAGACAATTGAGTGCCGTATTTATTTATGTAAATATATATATACAAAGAAGGGATAATGATAGTCCAGTCAAAGGAATTTGTCCATTTTTCGAAGCAATCCGCCAATTTATAAAAAAAAGCAGCATGAACAGTTCCATATAACAGCATATAACAAAGAGTTAACAATCATTTTTAAACAATACTTCAACATTAACTGCATACATAGAAATCAGGTTATCACTTGTGCGATATTCTTATGTTATCGCCTATCCCTTCAGCTAGGGTTTAGTTTTCTCACGCCATGCTTGCACGAGGAACGTACAACTACGGTTATAGATAAACTCATTACATATATTTATGTTAACTCATTGATAATTCATTGAACTTCAGAAGCAGTATTAGAACTCGAATAATACGCTTACTTTGCCTCTAGTTGTAGTCAATGTAACTACTAAATTTAACCAACTGATTGTTCACACGAAATTACTATTGGTTAATTTTTCGAAGTAAGGACGACAACAACTGATAATGACGTCACAATCACTGAGTTCCGTTGATATTTTCGGATTTATTTTGCTTTAATGTATTTCAGACTGTCCTAGGTACTTATCATCAATTTTATTATGTTTAATGAAAATGTAAGATACTGTTTATACAATTAGTTTGTTTTAATACAAATTTCCAGTTAATTGGAACTGTATCAACCCAGCTTCTAAAAGTAAGCCTACAATGCATGACGCTTATACTTATATAATGTACTTTATGCTAATAAAACACAAACAAAAATAACCTTTTGTACATACAATTATTTTATTTACAGCTGGACTGCATGTGCGCCGAGCTGGAGAAATCGACAAACACCTTAGAATTTATGTACGACTCATTACAAACTGAAATGCCTTCAATAAAGTCGGATACATGTGTAAGCGAGGCGTTACCGCAATGTCTTTAATGACATGTGGATTAGAGGAAATGTTCCTGTGTCTTCTTTCGAAATACCAACAACATGAGACGACCGTTACGCGGAAGGTGCTCCTTGACTCTTTGCTATTGCGGTGTTCAGATGCTCTATTCATCTAAATTATTCCTCAGTTAAGTTTTATTTAAATTTATTTATACAGTATATCTTTATGTATTTTTATTTCTGACGATGTTTTTTCTCATGTCATTTTTGTTTATTGTTTGACCACTTCATTAAATGCTTTACCTAAATAATAAGCACGTCATATTCAAAAGTCAGGGTTCTCTTCCAAATAGATATGCGTATAATACGTAACTTATCTGGATTTGTCGCCGTTTTAAAAATTCTTTTACTCTGGTTATTGAACAAGCCAATACTACCAATATATCATTATTTTGAAAATGTTCGAGGCAAGATTTTCATATAGTAAAAAAAATGTTAAATCATTTCCATATGTATTTAAAGGAAGAGATTACTAAAAAGAAAATTAAATTCAAATATCACTGACACATGATGTTTGTGTGATAAGTTTTATTGTTAATATGTATATTACCAGAACATTAATAAACGGGTAGTGTCAACTATACCTTGTGCACAAAAGAACGGATTTACGCCAGATTATGATAATGTTAAAACTTCCCGGATCAGTGACAGAAGTACAAAACATTACACAATTATTTTGCACATACAGCACTTTCAAGTATAGACATATCACCTATATGCAGAACTTTAAAATACCACCCACACAATTCGACAGACATACCTGTGGTTAAATAAACCAAGACTTTATTCAATGCATTAACAAACACTGAATATAATAGTCAAGGACAACCCTTGATGATTATCTAAGTACAGGAATGACTTAAAAGAAAAACCGCAGCAAACTGATCCTTGGATTGTCCTTTTAACGATTCCCTTTATATTGTACCTATTTACATGTAGAAACACTGATCATTTGCTTGCGGTATTAAATTACATTTTTACTTTCACCAGCCGTCAATAAAACAACTTTAGATGCTGGCGTAGTCCTTTAATTAATGTTCCAATAGGTGTTGATTTTCACGGTCAATTATACAGTTATAAGATATATTGTATTTCTTATACATATTTATATAAATGTGACAAGACAATGTTTATGGAAGGAAAACGCTTCTAAATAAAGTGTTTTTGGAGATGTTTTTTATATCAAAATAATTTATATTTCTATTCATTAGTCTACTCAATATCCAAAATACCACTGAACTTTCAATGAATATTTACTTTGTATATTTTCGTACTGGTTTTTTTTAAATTTATATTTCTCTTCTTTTTGATCATTTTTTTTTTTTATATTTTTTGTCTCTTTCCGAATTTTTACTCAACCTGTTTATTTTTCACAAGGCTTAAGCTTTCTTCACAATAGTAACAGTCATACATGTTAATACTAATATCGAAAGACAACTCTTTGCCAAATATTTTAAATTTCGAATCGGTGCGTTTTTCACCAGAAATCGGCTCTTAAATATTTTATTTTCATTTTTGACGGTTGGTACAACATCGGTGTATCCCGGAATGGTGAATAAAGTGAATGGCATATTCCTTCGTACTCGTGCCTCTAGTGCATCCCTGGGCCTATTTTTTATCAATACGAATTTTCTTTTTGTGATTCTTTACATATAACTGGTAGATGTGATTCTTCCATTTTAACCGGGAGAGATAAGCTTTTCACACTTTTGGGAGAGATAGCCACGTGCCGATTAGCACGTGTTCAATTGTGATTAAAAAAGTGTCAACCCCTCGGGTAAGCGATTTCTCTGTCATACCCTCCATGTAGGGGAAGATTCTATTAGTCGATCCGAACAATGGTCCGGATCCTAATGACAATCTACATATACCCTTTTTGATGATATATCTATCTGTCACAGTGATGCATATATGTTCATTGAGGAACAAAACACGTATTCCTGATGCCGAATATTCTGAATATGATATTATCTGGGTTAGTTAAACTTATTTGGACTAATTTTCTGCAGGTATATTTTTAGAAATTATAGGGCTAACTAATGCGAAATAGCATCTTTACTGAACGTAGGGCTTGAGTCAAATGATGTTGAAATATTTTGGTTGAAGTAGGCACGAGTAATAAACCATGTTGTCGTTGTTATACACACCCCATACTCGCTCCTAGGCTTTAGGCATAAACGTTTAATTTTGATAACATTGTTGACATGCAAAGAGAGGTAATCCTGATTGGATATATGTATATAGACATGTTACATCTGAAACCAAAATCACATCTTCATAAACAATAATTCAAATATGGATTAGATAAAATTAGTACTTGTTTCCGAATCGTTGTTGATTATGTATTGAAAATATAATGTATTGTTTATTACCAAAAGTAAATACTGTTTCCCTAACAGCACAGAGTAATCTCCATCTTTTAGTTATAACTGTCACATCATTGCTAAAATAAACTTTAAACAAGCATGTTAGACGACAATACGTTATTTCAATAATATTTAATATTAACGGACAGGGATATTGAACTACATGTGAGTGGGATTATTGGAAATATTAGGTTCTTCTTACTGCAAAAAGGCAAAGTTGGTATAAATTTCTAAAAAGATGCTTCCACAAAATAGAGCGGTTGAAAATGTTCTTAAAGATGAAGAAAAAGGCCTACAGCCAATCAGATTGTAGCGTGGGATGTTAGCCAATCAAAAACCTCAAAACAACGGAGGCACCAAGAAGGGGGGTGAGGCACCCTAAGGGACCTATGTTCGTAGCAACCTTTTAACAATACCTGTCAAATAGTCTAATGGGGGGTTTATGTGTCGCGACATAAAATCAGCTATGTAAATAGCTTGCATTTTCACACCATAAAACACTTTAAAGATAAAAGGTGAGGTCAACATTTGGCCCTCAAATCAATTCATTATATTTCAATTTATTAAAATGCAAAATATTTACAAAATTTAAAACATATCAAAAATTTAAACCGAAACACTTTATTATATTACGTATGTTTTCAAGTTGTGTGCAGCAGTGAAATCTCAATTTGTATTCTGCAAAATTGATCTTTCTGCTAGAGTTGAATTGGATTGAGTTGGTCTTAAATTAAATAAAACTGTGTTGTTTTTCTTCAAGACCAGCTCAATTCATCAACCCAAAATATTAAAGTTTGATACTTTGTTATAGATAAAGATATGTAGATATATAAAACAATAACATAATCTGAATAACAAAACTAATATATACGTGATAATTATTTAGTTTTTCCCAATTCACTAAAATATACAGGAAGGGACATTATATTATTTCTTTAACGAGTAAAGCAAGGAAATATAACCTTGTTTGACTCCCTATACAAGTGAGGTATATTCTGGAAACAGGAATGCATAACTATAATAATTGTATTTAAACCATTTTTAGAAAGCTCACATACATGTACGTCGGATATCTCGTATTAACTACATGTACTAACGTATCACTACTTGGTCTGCCTGGCCGGAAAACGAACGGTTTGGATTTTGCATTAAATAGATATACGCAACGTATATTTGTACTTTATCGTAGAATATGTAACTACGGATGCAAAAAATCAACTCAGGCCACAATGTACTATTTTTCCAAGTTAATTATTTCTAAACAAGAGTTTTTTTCTAAAAAAAATATATCGTAATAAAACAATTATAACTGTTTTCCTTTTCCCCTATGCGTAATTACCATGGTGATTTATAACTAAAGATCACATTATGACAGTTAGAAAGTTCCCCCAGTACTTTTGATTAACTATTTAATTCCCCTCTTAAAGATAGCCTATCCTGTATATATGGTTCCATGCTTAAGGACTGTGATTACTTCCCTCCGACTGTCCTCTTTATACTTACCAAAGTAACATTTTCTTTAACTTCCTCTCTAGACGTTCGATTGTACTAGCGAAGCTTTTCTGCTTTATATTCCATTTTTTTATATGGCTTCCAAATATATGACGATAATATGAATATAAATAGTGTTGAGTTGGTTCATATTCACATTGGATTGACAAAAAGTTTCTATTAGACTAGTAGTATAACATTCGTGGTGTAACGATAACAGTAATTTGTAGATAAAATGTCAAAACTACATTGAACGATGTCACACTTAAATATTTTATATATAAAAGTAAGATATATGTATTATAAAATACTATAAATACGATTGTTTTCACCAACAATACAGAAAAGAGACTAAAATCCGTTATGACTGCCCAAAGTTCCTTTATATTTTTTTTTTTTTTCAATAGGCATATTTTAATTTCACATACTTCTTTACTACCTATCACCTGCCTTAAGGATGTACTCTTCTGAGGTTTCAGTCACGTTCAAGTCTCGTTTTGATCTGGTGTAACGTTTTTTTGTAATATTGAACAAATTATGATGTCTGCTGTGTGTAGAACATTTGTTAAATGTAGCAGGTTAAATTTTGCTGTACAACTTTATAATGTTCAATATGATTAAAATAATATGCAAAAAAGTGGAAAGTTATATATTATTGGATTTTTTTTACATATTAGGGTAACTGAAGCACTTTTGATTTTTGTCCCCGAAAAAGGTGAAAAATAACACAAATAATAATGGGACAAAAAAAGAAGCACACCGACCCCCTATTTTTGTGGCTGTTTTAGAAAGAGAAACACATTTTCTTTTGATTCATTGAATACTAAAAAAAGTTTAATACAGGATTTGTTTATATCAAGCGTTTAAACTGCAAAAAATGGTGAAAAAATATGTATTTTTTCATTAAAAATTAAGGGGTAGGGGTAACTAAAATCGCATTTCTGAGTAAAATGAATAAGATTAAGAAATTTTACTTCCATAATTTAAAAGAAAATAATATTTTTATCAATTCTACAAACATTCATACATATCTGATAACACACTTGGAAGAAATTGTATGAATTTGTTCTGCAAATGGTCAAAACCCGAAAATTCACCTAAAATCACCTATTGTGTTATATTGGTATCTTTGACCGATCATAGCGCAAAAACGAACACACGGACATATATTTATTTTGCATTTTCTACTATGCCATTATCTCCTTTTTCCAAAAATCAATATAAGAAAAAAAGTTTATTACACGAATTTTTTGACTTCTCAGAGGTGTACATCCTTAAGGATGTACCCCTCTGAGAAGTCAAAAACTTCCTGTATTCAACGTGATTGAAACCTCAGAAGAGTACATCCTTAAGCGACCATATACTACTTTCCCGCCTAATACAGGTAGCACTGTATCATGTAACATTATATTCGATACTTATGAACAACCATTGCATCAAGGCACCACTCCTGAATTTCGAATCACTAAAGCAGATGACAACACTGCCTCAGAAGGCTGATCATTTCAATTGTTCTCTATTTCGATATAAGAAAATATTTACTCCCCTTGCGGGAAGGAATCACGTTTTTGTTTTTTCTTGAAATTAACTATGTACAAAGAAGGCGAATGACGTGAAAAAACATGATTAATCGAAAAGAGACAAAGAATTAATATGTTACCCCCACTTCAAGTCCGATACCTGCATACTATGCACATGTATGTCGGGAAAACCTTTTGATCAAAGGAGATAAGTTGGGACACATGTTACTTTCGAATGAAATTACTATATAGCAGTAAAATTAATGTTTATTCTAAGAGCTCCTTTTCTCTTTACGGTATCTCAATAATAATACCAAAAGAGGAAAAAAATAAACCTTATCATTTGAATCATTATGTCATTTAGTTTAGATATTACAGGAACCTTGATAGATGCTCATAACAACCCCAGGACTAAAGGAGAAGTGTACCGTTTTAACGCAATTGAAATCATCATGTGCCGCTTTTTAATTAGTATGCAGTTTATTTACGTAATTGTCACATGTTGTTTGACATAATGGCATCATTTATAAAATAGATGGATCGAGATGCTTTTATTTTTGATGTTTCGTGTTTTTTTATAAAGGCAACATGTGGTGAATCGCTCATTCAAGTTACCTTGAGGCGATACTATGGTTGAAGCCAGTTGCGCTTTATGATCAATACTTTGTGAAGTTGCATAATTTCTGGACTACTCGGTCAAAGTAAGTCTCACCTGGTTTGCATTTGTTATTTCACACCGTCCTTAGTCATCTTTACATTCAATTCACTAGGTGCCTTCCTAGATATCTGTGACACCTAGGAACACAGGTACAGCCGAAGTCTATCTCTAGATGCTATGTAGTAGGCCCTATTAAGGAGGGGAAAACTTCTATCATCATTCGGTTCAAACGTTATACGGACAGACAACAATTTTTTGACACTAAAAGGAAATGAAGCTAAACCGGCTCAGACACGATAAAAAAAACTGTATTCTTTTTGGAAGAGAGACGGGAGGATTTTCGCCAAAAAATCAAATGAAACTGCAAAAAAAACCTCATCAGAACAATAAATGACATTAATGATTTTGTTCCCGGCCACATCTACAGGCCAAAACAGAGAAACTAGAACTTTTCACTTCAATCCATTTTTGTCACTTAGTCAAAACTGTATATAAAAAAGTGACGTTGCATATTTGTTTTTATATGTTCCCCTGCATTATATTAGAGATTCAACTGGCCGTGTGTAAAGGGCACTAAAGAGATACCCAGCAGGGTGTGTGAAATAATCTCACATACACACATAATTATGGGTCAGCAGTGGCTGCTGCTGCAGTGACTAGCCGCTAGCAAAGTGTCAGTTCCTTATCGTAGATGAGGGGCACCAAAAATGCATATGGATACTACTATCTTAACCTTCAAAGTGCCTCAATCCCTCAATATCCATACTCGGTACACATATGAGAGTGTGTGTGTATTTGTATGTGTGAGTAAATCGTTGCATGTGTATGTATTTGTATATGGGGCAAAGAAGTAATTCCAACAGTGTGGACAAGTTTAAGTTGTCAAATTTTCGGAGCGATCCGCTCCTTTTTCAAGAAACAGTGAAACAGAACAGTTACATGTACATATACATCATGTATTTGTATATGTATATGTGTGATGTAATGCATCTATATATATATGTATATTATTATATTATTACTATACATAAAATCTTATGGTTACATTTTTGCTACATTTATTCCGATTTAAGTGATCCTATCCTTATTTTAAAAAAGTAATATTAATAACCCCTGCCTGAACTGCGTTTTAGTTAATACTTCCATTCAACATGTTGGTTACCTTATTCCTTTACGAGACTATGAATATATGGCTTATTGTCTATTTTACATGCTATCTTTCATTTGTATATGTTTACATCCAGGTTTTTTTCTTTTTTTCTTCTGCACTGACACGGGTAAACAAAATATTTTACTGCATTGCACAATTTGCACAATGTCCATGCATGATACCGACCCGCTATTTTGTAAAATTATCTTTTGTTTATTTGATAATGGGTAATTCTTACATGTGTCACAGAATAGCGATCAGTTTCTTTTATTCTAAGGTCTACAGTAAATGTGCGATGAAATCATGTATATTGTTATCGTTTAGTTCCAAAATGTTTTTTATGGATGCTCGACCGTGGTCAGATCTTTCTTTCATGGTTAATAAATCGATTAGATATTTTAATTTTTTCATGTTTTCGAAATTTTGAGTTTTCAGCAATTTTATTTCTACTTTTATTACAACGTATGGATATTGAATCCAATCCTGGCCCAAGGTTTGACGAGCTTTCGATTCTTCACCTTAATATAAGAAGTGTTAGGAATAAATTGAATTATATCGAAGATAGAGCCGGTGAATATGACATTATATGTTTAACAGAAATTCATTTAGATGACCAGGTACCTACAGTTGACTTACTTATAGCTGGATTTCATGAACCTTTTCGACTTGATAGGAACTTTGCTGGTGGAGGTGTTCTGGTCTACACTAACAATCTTCTAAAAGTAAACCGTTTATCGGAATTAGAATACCCCGGCGATGAGGTAATTTGGATAAATTTGGGAAAACCTGCGTACGTCTATCAACAATGCTCTAGATATCACACCAAAAGTAATAGTAACTGGTGATTTAAATGTTGACTTATTAACTGCATCTACTACCCATGTTCTTTTTGAAATTATGAATTCTTTTAGCATAACCAATGTCATAAATGAACCTACTCGTATCGGACCGACTAGATCAAGCCTACTCGACCTTATTCTTTTAACTCAATTACTTCCCTGTATTGATTCTTCTGTTGTATCAGTTGATAACTCTTTCAGTGACCATGATGGTTGGTCTGCTTGTATTAAAATTGCATGTGCTTTTATATCAATTTATAAGCGTACATTTTGGCTTTATAAGAGGGCAGACTTTCAATTGTTTACTAATGTTATTTCTAATTATAATTGGATCGATCTTTTTCTAAATTGCGACTCCGTTGATATTGCCAGTGAGCGTTTTACTGATGTTTTTCTAAAATTTGCTAATTTATATATTTCATTTAAAATTGTCACTTTAAGACTAAATGACAAACCTTGGATGACCTCCGAACTAAGAAAAAAATTGAGAGTTCGAAATAGATTGCACAGAACCGTGAGAACAACAAATCTTCTTTCGAATGTCGAATTTAAGTCTCAACGTAATAAGGTTAACAACATGACAAAGCATGCCCGTTTTATATTTTATGAAAATGTTCAAGGTATAATTAAAGAGTATTCGTCCTCTGATCAAAAATCTTACTGGAGACTTATTAAACGGTTAATTAAATCCACTGGCACTTCAAAATCTATACCTAATCTTGTAGATCCTCATACTAACACTACTGTTACTAATAACGAAGCAAAAACTAACTTATTAGATGACTATTTTTATAATATTACACGAGTAAATGGTATTCCACTATGGTTCCTATTGTTGAGCCAAAAACTGACAACACGTTTAGTTCTATTAGAGTAAATAGTAATGAGATTCGAGACGTTCTACAGATATTGAAGCTCGGTAAGACTTCGGGTGAGGATGTAATCAGCCATCATATGCTAAGAAATACCTCACAGTCTGTGTGTATTCCACTTAGAATTATTTTTAATGTGTCTTTATCGGCAGGGATCTTCCCAACTGCTTGGGGAAAAAACAAAGTCACAATGCCACTATTTTAAAAAAGGTGATAGGCGTTCTCCTTCTTACTATTGGCCAATTTCGCTTTTATCTATTATTGGAAAAGTTTTTGAGCGAGTAATCTTCAAACACCTGCATACTTATTTCTTAGAAAACTCATTGTTTTATATGTACCAGTCTGGTTCTATGCATGCTCATTCTACTGTATATCAGCTCATTGAAATTTATCACAACATTTTTATTGCTCTTGAAGAAGAACAAACATGTATGTATGGTATTTTGTGATATCTCCAAAGCTTTTGATCGGGTTTGGCATAAGGGTTTGATGGTAAGGTAAAATCTTACGGAATTGTTGGTGAATTTTATATGAAAATAATTTATTCCATAGGCAACAGAAAGTTTTTCTTAAATAATTCTTATTCCCATTAGGTTTGAACGA